TGATTGCCTAATGGCTAATTTCCATCGACCAAATAGGGCTTAGAGCAAAGTTCACATAAAGGATGGAGTCTCACACAATCAGAAAAGAATGCCACATGAGATGGATAGCTAAATTGTTCTACAGTGCCTCAAAACGGCAGTATATGTATAAATAGTTTAAAATATTTATAAATTCAAGTACCTAAACAAAAGCTAAAAACATTACAAAATATGAGTACCTAAAGGTTCTCACTTTTTGATACTTTTCTATGTATCTTTCATCTACATTTTTCAAATCTCAAGTATAAAACTGGAAGACCATGAAAATATTTGAAAACCATAATTTTGTCTTAGGTTTAGAGGATCCGAGGTAATAGAATTATATATCTAGACACCTACTTCATTAATTTAGTGAAAGTGATGCGAGGCCAAAACCATGGAAAAATTTCACGTGTGTGAGTGATTTAAGTCTTACATTAATCGCCAAAACATTTAATTGCATCTTGTTAAGTATAGTACAAAATATATCATTTCTAATCTCAGAATTCAATGAAAGTAAACTTAATGAATATTCATTGTTCAAAACCAATTAAAGAACATCATAACGCTAACAGTAATTGATACCTCATTATTGTCAAAACCCAGTTTATTTTTTTATTTTTTTGGACAGTTTTTTACTTCTTGGGACTTAGCATAGCAAACAAACAAAGCCGTTGGAACTTAAATTACTGCAGTTTCCACATTGGTGCGAACTTTATAGTGTCAGAGACGAGAACATCGTATTTGAACTGAAGCCTTCTTTCTAGCAACTTCATATTAGCTCGTGATCGAGAGCTATGCCGCAATGTTGGATAGTTTTCTCATTTATGCTTCAAGATATACACTAGAACTTCAAATCATAACCCTCCAACTTTTGATCGGTTATCCGATCGAGCTGCTCAATCATCTCTTGCGAGAGATGATTCTTCCAATCACCCACCTCCCCTCTCCGGAAAAACCCGCTATTCTCGACCGTCGAGCCTGATTGAGTCCCCATACGATGGACCCCGGATTTGTTCACCTCCATTTGCTTCAAACTCTCTATGCTGCACAGCTTTATGATCTCTTGCACTACACCACCATCAATCTCTTCAGGAGTAAATGGACAGCCCAAGAAAGTTGCCAGCCTCTTCACATGGGGCTCTGTCTCACTCTTCAAGTCCTCATACTTCAACATTAAGACCTTGTTTGGATACTCCAAGCTTGCTTTCCAATAGCCCAGCACATGGTCCCAAAATGGCCCTGAAAGAGATACCCCTCTACTGAATAGCTCAAATGCTTCCTCCAAAGAAATAGGTGGCCTATCACCATCTGTAACTCTTATTTTGCCAATGAAGATCCACATTGATACAAACACATCCTTCGGGTCTCGGACGATGGACACGATCCGGCACCCTGAGGTCGCAATAGATCTCGGCAGTGAGGCATAAGGGATGTGAGTGGAGAGAAGCCTAGGCGAGGGAAGTGAGTTGAGGGCCGAGATGGGGTCCTTCTCATAGGCATAGAATTCAATGTAGGGCACACATTCATGAGGGTTCTTTGTGAGCAAAGTGTGCCTTGGGAGGTCTTGGTTGTGCCTATTGGCAATAGCAAATGAGAGAGCCTTGAGCCATGTCAAGCCGGTTTTAGGGAAGGTGGCCAAGAGTGTGTCGGTGGGCCGGCCCTCGAAATGTTGCTGGGCCCAGATGACTCCTCTTAGGAAGTGATTGTCATACCAGAAGCCTTGATACTTGTAGAAATGCTCAGTCAACCACCCTTTTTCTTTGGGTAAAGATGATGAGATGGGTACTTCTCCTTTGTCTGCTTCTTGACATTCTAGGGCAATTTGTTCCTTAAGAGGCTCTTCTTGACTGGAGAGATCAGAAGCAACAGCGTTTGGCACCTTACAATGCAACACGTAAAGGTGAAAAAAATTCTAACAACATTCTTTCAAAATGCACTAGCATAGAGGCACAAACAATGCATGTGAATGAAGCCACGATCGTAACACTATTTATAGTTACTCTTAAGTTCATTTCCTCTTTTTTTTCTTTTGAGCACAGATAAACTCCCTTGATCCTTTTGTCACGGCATATGGATCGCCGCAAAGAGCCAAGTTGATCAACATAATCTTAAAAATAATGCTTCGAAGGATTCTCATGCGAGCTAAGTCATGGACACCATTCAAATTTGATTGATTCTAAAAGGTTTTGCAATCAAAATGATCATTCGTTGAAGTTTTAGATCTAAACTGTATACCTTACTATATATCCAACAACTCTCGCATCTCCATCATCATACGGTACATTCCTTCATGCGAAGCCCTTCTTTCGATGAAATCTGTTTCTCCAAATTATTCGTTGCCCGACACCCGTCATGTCTACTACTAAAACTTTTAATAAATCATGCAACAGGCAGAACTACAAGCAATCACAAAATACGAGAACACATAGGATGAACTCGTTGTAAACAAAGGGGGATCGTTGCATACCGGTGAAACGTTCCCACGAATCGTCATCGCCGGCAACTGGCAGACACCTTCATGTATGCAAATGCGAGGTGAAGGAAGAGAGAGTGAGAGATGGGTCAAAGAGGTCATATCGGTGGAAAGTAGATGAACGGTGAAATCTTGACGATCCCTGGTAGATGATTTTCAAGTCATTATGTTTCCTTCGGACAAAATTGTTAAGACGTCTTTAAGACAAGTGCAGCTCCAAATTATTGAGGAAAGCGTTATGATCCCCTCTCTCTCCCTCTCTCTACAATGAAGATTATTACCATTGCATTAAGGAAGAGAGAGAGAGAGGGGTCAAAGAGGATATGTTAATCATACCAATGAAAAGTAGATGAAGGGTGAAATCTTGACGATCCCTAATAGATGATTTTCAGGTCATTTTATTCCTTTCATGAGAAAATCATTAAGACGTCTTTAAGACAACTACAGCTCCACGTTAATGAGGATAGCATCTCTCTCTCTCTCTCTTTAATGAAGATTATTACCATTGCATTAAGGGGGAGAGGGAGAGAGAGAGACAGGTCAAAGAGGAGATGTTAATCGTGTTGGATGATCTCTAGTAGATGATTTTCAGATCATTTTGTTCCCTTCATGACATAATCATTAAGACGTCTTTAAGACAAGTGCACGGCTCCAATTATTGAGGAAAGCGTTATGATCGTCTCTCTCTCTCTCTCATATAAAGATTATTACCATCGCATTTCCTTGGAAACCCTTGTGGGACGTTAATTTTCTCTAGAGGAAAATGCTTAGATGACTGCACCGTTACTTTAGGCGAAATAACTGTGCAATCTGCATTCCACAATTTCCCAAGGAAACCGGATGAATTTTTTGTAAATAACTAAATTTTGCTAAAAGTAAGTTTAAAGGGGAAAAAACCTAAAATTATTAATGACCAAAATGCAGATAATCACAACTATTAAATGATATTTAGTTGATTAAAATCTTCTATTACATTTTAAGCTGATTTTTTCTTTTATTTTGTTTACATCAATCTTTGATCACATTTTAAAGAATTATACTTTCATTACTATTTTTCCTTTTATAACAGTTTAAAAGTCTAATGTTAAATATAGCTTTCTGGTATAAATATTATAAAATGTATGAACTTATAAGAGTTAAACTCTATACTCATTTAAGATAACATAAATTCCTTGTTTCTTATTGTCATGATATCTTCATCATTAGCATCTTTAATTAAATAATTTTTCTCAACCAAATCTTGTAATATTTTTTCATCGATCCAATTACTATAAAAGGAACTCTATATAAAAAAAACAAACAAGGAAAAAATGGTTTAAGCTTATCCAATTCAAGAATAATATAATATTCTGATAAATAACAACTAAAATAAAATGTTCAAGAATCCTCTTCTGTGAGCTATTAAAGCTAATAAGAGACTAGTAAACTTTCTTTTATGCAGCGAAAGACTAACTTGTTTTTCAATGTGTAGATAAAAGAGCTTAATCGTTGTGTACATTGATCAGAAAACGTTAAAAGAATTGATAGTCTACAATTTATATCCTCTGTTAGGTATACCTAATATATACTGTTCTCATTTATCGATTCTTAGATTTTATTATACCTTTTCTCTAAATTATGAGATGTGAAATCAAACAAGTTTGAAACTAGAGTTTGACATTTGAAGGACTTGGCTGGCATTTGATATTTGCGATTGTATCTCAACAATTTGAAACAATTTTTTCCCATTTTGAAACTAATCCTCCGGTTGCCCATCCTAAGCAAAAGATAATTTGTGGTCCTGCTGGCACTGTTACTATTTGTCTGATAATGCCCTCATGCTAGCCAATCTCAAAAAAAGAAAAATTAACTAGCGAAAGAAAAAGTATAACAAAAAGACTAACATTGACATTTCCTACAAAGTTGAGGGGAAAGTTTTTTAACAAAAAAAAAAGATAGTGTAATGATTTTAATTTTGGACAAAAATAGAAAGACAATTGTGATATTATTCCTTAAATAAAACTGGAAAAAAAAAAAACAAAATCTTCATTCCATGGTACTTTCTTGCATCCGGTTGCCCACCTCTCACAAGTTGAAACTTGTCGTCAATGTTGCACCGTCACAAATTCAACATAACCGTACGGTCATGCGAGTTGGACCAATTTTTCATTTCACACGGTACTCCCAAAGATATCTAAACATAAAATGCACGAGATACAAAGACTTCTATCTAAACTTAATACATAGAGGTCAATTTAGTTTTAAATTTCTCAATTTTGTCAATTAAGCATGAAGTGCGTCCGGCTAATTTTTGTCAAAAATCATTGATATTGTGGCATGTCTCATAAGATGGCCGACAAAGATTGGATCGCTGCATCAGCAATTTTCGCCGAAAATTTAACTGGAAAAACTACGTTGGAATAAGATTTAAAAAGTTTCATATCCTTAAAATAAAATAAAAAATAAATTACGGAAAAAAAGGAGTAAAATGTTTTTAAGACTAAAACGAAACTCAACATGCGTGGCCGTCCCCATACGACACAACAACTACCTTATCTTTATTTCCATTCCCTTCGGGTCTCCATCGCCCGTCTCCCTCGCTTCACCAGCAGAAATATCCAAAGCTTTAGTCCACCCACCAAGTGTTCGACGAAATTCCTAAATGGAAGCCACCAAGCCCTCGCTCTCTCAACCCAAATTCCAACCCAACCTCTCTCCACTTCCGCTCCAACACACCACGGACCGCCCACGCCCGCTCGTCTCCGTCACCAGAAGGCTCGCGCTGTCCTCCTCACTCTCTTCCCTCGTCTTCTCTTCCTCGCCCGCGCTCCTCCTCCGTCGACCCGAGCCCGCCAAGGCCTTCGAGTTCGGGTTCGTCAAGCCCGGCCAGACGGTCGAGGACGCGGAGGGCGCAGTCCGGGGCCACGCGCGGTCGCTCCTGGCGGTGAAGCCCCTGCTGGAGTCCGGGTCGTGGGAGGAGGCGCAGCGGGAGATGCGCGAGAGCTCGGCCCTCCTGAAGCAGGACGTCTACACGATCATCCAGAGCAGGCCCGGGGGCGAGAGGCCGAGGCTGAGGAAGCTGTACGCGGACCTCTTCAATGGCGTCTTGAGGCTGGACTACGCAGCGAGGGATCGGGACGGGCCTCAAGTGCGGCGGTGCTACGAGAAGATCAGCGCTGCTCTTGAGGAGATTTTGAGTTTGATATGAAGTTGGTTGATTTGCAGCAAAAGATTATCGTAACGAACTAGTAAAGTCTGCCATGTGAAATCTCTCAATGGATGTTTCTTTGCTGTTCTATGTAATGTAGCTGATCGACTTGAGGCATTACGAGTGGTGTGCATAGATAGGTCGATCAATGCCTGCTATACGAAGCGCCCCGCCCGGCCCTTCCCCGCCTCGCTCGGTCCCGGAGCTGTGGCGGGGTGGAGTTTCACCTCATGGGGCGGGGATGGGGAATGCGATCCCGGGCCCCGTCCCAACCCGTGCCCGTGCCCGTGCCTGTGCCTATGCATGTGTGCGGGCATTATATATGATATGAGATAAGTACATTTTATAGAAGTGTGACTGTTTCGGAGCAAAGCAGCGGGCCAAACTAGCTTCGCTAGCGCCATATCTATAGTCGGAGATACCATAATGACTTGGCTTCGAGGTTTTTTCCAAGACAATGCCACATCATGTCATACTCTTTAGTCTTCATCATTTACTCCCCTTTTATTTTAGTAGGCGCTGGTCTTTTTCATTTGACGGCATTGCACCGATGTGTACATTCATAAAGGTTTCAAAGCAATTTGGACTAATCCCATATTGAAATAATTTGAGTTTTTCTCTCTTTGTGATCACTTCACATTCCTTTTGCAAGTAATTCAAAAGACCAATCTTTTTTTCCATTATCCGAGGTATATTCCAATTGTCTAAATTTTTCTCAATGTATTTTATTCTTTATAAATACTTCAACTAGGTTTGCCCATTCATTATACCTTCCCTAGAACTAGGCCCCGTCCATGAATTAAACATTCTTGCCGGTAAATAAATTCCTAATCAACATCAAATCTATCGTGTATTATCTGTTATCCGTCACTGATTATTTCATATCCCAACACAAATTTTGATTTCAGAAGGATTTACACGGGTCACGTGACATGGGCCATAATTAGATACAACCAGACTCAATCGAAATTACTATTTAATCACAACTAATAATTATATTAATTTTAGAAGGATTGTTCTATATCTCGAACAATGTATGATAAATAAATGAAATCTATTTTTATCGCTTATGAAAATGTTTAGATATAAAATTTCGTAACGTTTTCTATTGGTTAATGAAGGCGAACAACAAAATAAATTATTTTTAAAAAAAATATTTTTTGATTATTATTTTTTCGCGAAATAAGGAAAATCTATTGCAAATTCAATACGGAAAGATGAGTAATAAATGAAGGAAGAAAGCAAGCAGCGTAGCATTTATCACATGGCACTGTGGAGTCAGCAACAAAACAAAAGGCCTCCCCCTCACGCCGTGAACGAAACGGTCAAAAGGTGAAACGGATCCGACGGCCGTCCCCGCGCCACGCGAAACGGCGACCCCCTCGGGGAGGGGGGGGCCCCGTTTTCCGTTACGCCGTTCCACACAAACCCCACCTGGAGCGGTCAATCCCTCAGTCAAAAGGACACAGATACTGCCCCGTCTCTCTTTCCTCTCTCTCTCCTCCGTTCCCGACGAAGAAGAAGAAGAAGAAGAAGAAGAACGAATCTCTCTCTTTCTCTCTCTCTCTTCTTTCTCTCTCTCTCATCAATCGCGAATTCGAACGGAATCGAGGCCGGAGCGCGCCTGCAGCTCCAAGCTTCGGACCGCCGGAAACCTCTGGAATCTGCGCGGGTTTCTTCTTCGAGGTGCGTTCGGTGCTGCAGTCGTCGTCGCCGGTTCGCCGCTGGCGGCGGCGGTGGTGGTCGGCGGGGGGAGGAGTCCGGTCATGGCGGGCGAGGGAGGAGCTCCCGAGGCGGAGGGCGGCCGTCCCGGCGAGCTCCCGAGCTCGGGTGCGGGCGGAGGGGGAGCGGGAGCGGGGGAGGGAGGCCCGCCGTCGGAAACCCTAGCCGCGGCGACCCCCGCCCCGTCGCCGCGGGGCGATCGTGATCGGTGCGAAGGTGAGTTCCCGAAGCTGTCTTGAATTCGGAAAGAAAAAAAAAAGCGGGGGGGGGGGGGAAGAATTGTGTTGGGCAGTGTTTTTTGTTTTTTTCGTTTTCTTTTTGCTGGTGCTCTTGGTGATTGAGGCGGTGGTGGTGGGTGAATTGGCAGGTTCGAAGGCGAGTTCTGCTGCGGTGGAAGAATCCAAGGTGATTGCGGTTCCTTACACTCGTTAATTTCAGTTGGCGTTCCATTTGATTACTATTTGTGTTGGAGGAAGCTTAATTTTAGTCCTTGTGAATTTATTTGCATAAGGCGAGCTTGTCACTCTCACTCTATTCCACTTAATTTCACTTCTCCATATGGATGATGATGAAATTCGCGCTATTACTTGACTGATACTGTTGTGAAGACTATGGAACATATGATTCCTCTTAGCTGGTTCACTGTCGTAAACTTGTCAGTGGGCTTCTCAATGGGCTACCAATTGACAGTCAATTCTTGCAATTTGGGGCTCAGATGACTTGCTGGCTTATCTCAAGTAATCGACCTTTTGAACAGTTGGCAGACCGCTCACGGAACCCCTGTTATCCTCAAAAATCAAAACCGTGATTTCCTGAATCAAGAATTGTTTATGGGATTGGATCTGATCAGAAAGCTTAGCACATTTACAATCCTATGTTTGTTTTGCGTGGACTATTTTCAGGATGCACCTTGCCATACTAGTTTGAGTGTAGGATGAACATGAGGATTGAGGAAGAAATCCAAACCAGATGTAAGTCTGATTAAAGGATAGAAATCATTTAAAGTGTTAGCTCAATAATGGAATGCCCGTACCACCACCTGGTCAGCCACAAGGCGACTTTTGATAATATGTGTCAGGAGACGTGTTAACCAAACATCTGCAAGAAAGGTATTCTTGAGGTCCATGTAGATGAGGTGTTTTCCTGTTGCACCCTATATATTCAGTCTACTAGATGGGGTTCTTCCTCCAATGATGGTTTATAGAGATGTTGGATAGTACTCATACAAGTAACTTTTTCTATGTGGGTAGTGCGTCAGGTTTGTCTCATTTATGAAATTTGCATGCTAAAAGAAAGATAGGAAGGAAAATGTAACAGTGCTCCAAGTGCGCTGGTACACAGTACCTGAAGATTTATCGATCTTGAACTTTGAAGATCTGGTGGGATTGACTTGGAATAAGGCATAGCATTGTTATAAAGGAGATATGCAATTGATTGTGAAAGAAGCAATACTTTCTATGTCCTTGGGACATTTGCTTTCTCCACGATTCACTTGCCATATCTTGGCAGAATGTTGATCTTGAACACAGTCAAAACTCTTTTAAACCATTTCAGGATAATTTTGCTTATAAGATGGCTTTCCGAAATGTCAAAAGAATATGCGGTTCACCTTTTCTCCCTTTTCAGGAAAAATGTATGTTCGAACATGATTGTAAGTTGGAACAATTTGATTTTCTTTCCCAGACTTAAAAACTTGTGTGATGAAACAATTTGCCCTTTTTTTTAATTTGCTTCGCTGTCACTTTGAGCTTTGGAGATTTGACTTTTACTTGATTCTGGATACTTAAAATCTTAAAGAACTTAGAAGCGTAACATCATGTGAAACCTTTGTATAATTACTTAGTTTTGGCAGTAATTTTAAGAAGAACAAAGTGCCATGAAGAGGCATTTATATTATTCATCTGCATTTTCCCCAATGTATCCTGGTGAGATTCTATCTACTATGTAATTTGGTGCGGTATATGATAAATGTTGAAAATTGTACTATGCTTGAAAGTTTGGGGGTGAGAATATCAAAATTTGCGGTCAAGAGACTAGCTTGAAATTCTTGGCAAATTTTTGAGCCATGATTTGTAAAAGACATCATCTAGAACCATCTCAATTGTGACATCGTGAGCTTAGATGTAAGTACATTTCCAATGAATCATAAACCAGATAGTTTCAGGAAATATGTTTTTCTCTTACTGTCACCAGGTCATCATGCACTTGTTCGTAGATTGTGTTAACAAAAATTTGTTTATTCATCTATGCTTGCAAGCCTTTGACGTGATGACAATTTTTGGCCTTCAGGAGCAAGTTCAACAGTCCCACCAGGAAGTTCTAGCAGTTGGAACAGTGGAGGCGGTTCGAAGAGAGACACAGAACCAGCTGCATTCATCATCTTGTCCAATGGCGTCATCACAATTATCACCAACTTCTGTTACTCAATCTATTTCGTCAATTCCGAGTCCAACTCCAGTAGAACAAGGTTCCGGGATGAAGGTTACGGATTCCTGCATGCCAGATCCGGACATAAGAAGTTCTTACACGAGGAATGTCCCTAGAGCTCTAAGGACGTCTAACATCGATGGTTACAACTGGAGAAAATATGGTCAAAAGCAAGTCAAAAGTCCCAAAGGTTCAAGAAGTTATTTCAGGTGCACAAACACAGAATGTTCTGCAAAAAAGATCGAGTGTTGTGATGAGCTAGGCCATATGTTAGAGACTGTTTACAGAAGTCAACATAACCATGATCCACCAAAGAAGGTCAATGGCATGTTGGAGGGTAAATTTGAAATATCTGTTGGGCCTGCTGTCAAGAATCTTTCTAATAATCAGTCAGCCGGAGTGCTTGATGATTCAGTTCCAACCACTTCTTCCAAGGAGCTAGTCCAAGAAATTCCTGCTAGAACCAAAAGTGAGCATCAAAATTCAGGTGGCTTTGGTGGAAATGGGGAAACTACCATAAAGAATGAGCTTGTCAATGAAATAGAGCCTAGACAAAGGCAAGTTGAAGAAGCTGTAATTCCTCCTGTGTTCTCTCTTAGAATAATTCTAATCTCTCAATCGCCCAAGGAAGCATTATTGTTTAGATGGTGTCTTAATCATTTTTCTCCTCTTCTCTGACATGCAGTGGTAACAAGAACAAGTCGTTTCACTCGGATCCTCAACCGAAACCTGGAAAGAAACCTAAGATTGTTGTGCATGCAGCGGGTGATGTGGGGATCTCTGCTGATGGTTACAGGTGGCGAAAGTACGGGCAGAAGATGGTAAAGGGAAATCCTCACCCCAGGTGCATGCATATATGATTACTCTGGCTTTTTTCTCTGTTATAAAAAGAAAGAGACTACTAATTCATCAGAATATATTGATGTGGCAAGGTTCTTAGGGTAAGCTTTGGCTTTGTGGAGGGAAAATGAAGGGACTGGACCTTTTATTGTTTTGAACAATCTTTTTCTCTGATTGTTTATCTTATTTCCTTTTCAAAGAAAAAAGATTTTCTCACTTCTGTCCCTTTTCTTTGGATTTCCTAAGCGCTTCTTGGGCATTGCGTGGCAATTAATTTTGTTTTACTTTCCTGTTTGCGTCACTTGGTGCTTATGTATAGATAAGAATGATTGCTTGCTTGCTTTTAAGTAAATGAAAGCACGTTCAATCATATTTGGAAATTGGATATAGGGACCAGAGAGTTAAATGAAATGTATGCGATTGTAGTATGACTATAGTGAGAGGAGGTAAAGCTGTATTTGGCTGTATATATGAATAAGCACAACATAGATGAACATAACAGGTCTCTGCAATCACAAGATTTTTCCACTAATCAATTTCGAAGTTCAAGTACTTACATAATCTGCAAGTGGATAACTGTGAATCATATTTCGAGCACAGCATAATATGCTCTGCAATGAGACTGTTGTAGCCTGTACGAGGTCTTCCTAGTTGTATACTTGCATAAGGTAAGCACCTAATGATTGCAATAATAAGTGATCTGCATGAACCAGTATTCTGGCCTGGTTGGCAGTTAAGTTGAGGGAAAGTATGCTTGTGTACTTTTTAATATAGTAGTGGATTGTTGGTGTGTCCCTGGTGTTTCCTTGCTAGTTTTAGGTACTGGTGGCTGCGGTTGTTTTTCTATAAGTAACTTGAAGTTGATATTGTTCTAAGTATACATGAAGGGGACAATATCAAAAGATATGCGAGAAAGCTTTTTCGACGTGTTCCATGATCTAGCATTTCTTTTTAGATTGAAGCTTTTTGTAATCGCATTTATGATCTCTACGAATTTCAGGAATTACTACAGGTGCACTTCAGCGGGTTGCCCAGTTCGTAAACAAATTGAGACGGCCATAGATAATGCAAATGCCGTCATAATCACTTACAAGGGAATACATGACCATGACATGCCAGTTCCCAAAAAGAGGCATGGCCCACCAAGCGCTCCCCTTATTGCTGCTGCTGCTCCAGCTTCCATGAGCAGTGCACAGCTTAAAAAAGTCGATGCATCCCAAAATGGAAAGGCTTCGACCCAATTGTCTGTAGATACAGGGGGTGAATTGACTGGAAAGGCCATGGAACTTGGAGGTGAGAAGGCAATGGAATCAGCAAGGACTCTTCTAAGCATCGGATTCGAAATCAAGCCCTGTTGAAAAGTGAATAGATATCTGAACTGGAGTAGAATTAATTGCCAGGTTTGAATTTTTTCAATTTTTTTGCCCAGTAGTCTGTATTTATTTTGATATATGTCTTTCTCTGTTGTAGTCTCTTTGGGCGCCTGTATAGTTCCCCTTTAAATGCCCTGTAGAATCTGTTTAAATAGAGGAGAAGAGATAGTGTGTAGTGCACATAAAGTCATGACGTTTAGCGAATGCAGAAATAGCGTATGCATGATTGCATTTATCATCCACATGGAGGTTTTTTACTAAGCTCAATACAAGAACTCGGTGTGGTTCAAGATTTGATATGCAGTCGTAATGGTTTTTGGAGAAGCGCAAGCCGAATGCTACATGATCAAGACAAGTTAGAATACATTATATAGCCGGGGGAAAAGGAGGCCAAAGGTATGATCTTTGTTTGCCTTGGATTAATTCTAAATCGAATTGGAGACTAAACCCGAACTTCGCTGATGTCCCAAAAGCGAACATATGCTAGTGCATCATAATTGACTATTCATTGTTCATTGATGAGCAAGAGGTAGGTGCTTGAAGAATCATAGCGAGACTATTCTAGTGCTCGAGCGTGAGATGTGAAGAGTAACCATGTGGAAGTCTTGCTTGATTGATAGTTGAGTGGACTTTTCACTATCACAATGCACGGGGCGCGTGTAGCGTGCGCTTGTTCTAGTTTATCGCTTATTTAAACAATGAAAATCTATAATTTAAAAGTCTATGGCGTATGAATAAGAATAATTGTTAAATTGTTGCTATTCCAAATACGCAGAAGAATTGTGGATTTCTCCTTCACTTTAATGGACGAAGACCTACGAGTACATCTCATTTATATAGTAATAAATTCGTTTATTTTAGTAGAAAGGATAATTGAACTATCGATAATTAATGTAAAAGAAGCCAATTTTAAAAGTTGCATATACGGCGATGTTATATCTCTAAAGTCAAATTTTGTTAATTGATCAAATGCAAAAAGTAGCGGCAAAAGTCTGACAATTACTTACGAGAAAATTGTGTCGAATATCAAAGTCACGGTGGCATGTCTCCGACATTTCAATTCCGAAGTTTGCGTAGCAACCTGCTCCTATGGCGAGGAAATTGTTGCCAATATCCGAGTCCATAAACAGGGTGCAATCTCAACGGTCGATCTTGTGCGACCCGTAAGCGCTGCCAACGTAGAACCCACACGATCAACACGGTTATGATGGATCTAGTTCGATGAACCCGGCTCCAGGCAAGAAATCTTCCCCCTTAGCAGCATCGACATAGGATCATCTGCTTAATATCATATTGAGATCCACCATCTTGCAAAAGCAAATCGCTGATTTCGGGGTCGAACTTCCGACAACCAAATTGAAGCCAGTCCTCTCTATTCAAAATCGAGATGATCATCGAACAGGCTTTTAACATCGTTCGTAAATTATAAAACTTTACTCGTGCATTCAAGCTCTAAAACTTGTATCTTTCGATTTGATTGAATCCTTTCATCAACGGAAGGAAAGAATTAATGTACAAAGTTTTAGGACATAAATTAACAAAACGAAAGTTTTATTATTTAAATGCACGAACTTGGCAAGTTTTAGACCTTATTCCTTGAAATCTAATTAACAATAACCAACAAAGAGATTTGTGATGCTTTGTGGAGAAAGAATACTTAGCGATATGCTAAGGAACATCACTAGCCAAAATTAAGTGCTTCAGCTTCTGAAGCTAAACCCCAAGAACAAGATGTCACGGTATAGCCAGACGAAATTTGCGAAGTTGTCATCGCAAAATATAAATGAGTCACACCATTCAATCAACAGGAACAAAACTGGATAAGTAAATGGTCAAATATCTGCAGTAAAATCCCAGGAAAAACTCTGTCCATCATATTTACCAGCAAATATTAAAAGTAAGAGATGTTCATAAGAAAGTACATGCACTTCATAATATTTTGTTTTTCGCCTAGACATGAACTTCATCAAGTAAATGGGATATTTTGGCAACAAAAAGAGGAGACCAGAATTTGAAGGTAGGACATCCTTTTAAGCGCACCTTGCGCATTGTTAAAAAACCTCTCTGGGGGTACTTGCAGACACAGCATGTCACAAGATCCGAAAATGGCACCTGCAAGCATTCAAAGTTCGTGTTACTCCTTTGGGGAGCCAGTAACATGATACAATTTTGCAATCAAGTAAGGCGTGTCTACAATGTGCCTAGCCAACATATATACAAGTGACTTCTTTATCTTCTTTTATAGATGGAGCAAAGTGCATGCGCAATAAATCATTGGGTACACATCCCTTCCAATCACGAAACGAGATTTGGGGGATCCGTGAACACTTTTGCAAGGCTTCATCCTTCTCCATTACAGCAGCTTAGTCAGTAAAATTGTTTCGTAAGCATTCAAAAGCAAATGTAGGCAAAAAAGAAGGTAAATAAATGTTAATTCCAGGAAGTAGTGCGGGTGTTTTTGGAATATCGGTGGCTGAACGCCCACAGTACTCATAACAACAGTAATGACACAGGAAAGCATCAGAGTTACAATACCAACAGCTAAGGCAGACTCCAAACAGACTTGAAAAACGTGTATCTTTCAGTCACTATAGGAAGTAATGTTTCCCAGGGAAAATTGGACACGACGTTGCACTCCAAGATGCATTCTATGAATCAAATGAAAGGACATCACTAAGAAAACCTCATATAACTTTGTTTTTTCCTGGAACTATATGAAGCAACCTAGAAGCCATCTAAAGGAGCCATCATTTCTCTTTTTATTTTAAAATTTGCTGGGCAAGTATAACGTTGTGGCATTTGCTGATTTTGGGTTGTGAGCTCTGAGTTGTTTTGCTGTTATTCCTCCTTCATTTTTTCTAACCTAGAGTGAAAAGGAAACGCAAAAGCCATGCTACCAGAACAAAAAATGATAATTAAGTCTCTAATCAGATATTTCCATAAAACAAAGGACAAAATAAGACCCAACTATCACAAATGCACAAGGTCACAGTATAAGACTGGACTGAGTATCTCATGTAATGTGCAAGCTCTTTAATCAAATTTACAGCTCAAAGCCGCTTTGTGATTGTCACTTCACTTCAAAGCATCGAAGTTTCAAGCACATTCACAGCTTATTTATATCACAAATCCGTTAATTTCTTGCTAATTCTTCATAATGCTATTTTTCTCTTCTAGAGGCAAGAAACAATCTAAAGGTCATTCAGCACAATCACTGAGCAGTACACTCTTAGCGTACCAAGAAAATACAAAAAATATATACATTGCCACAGACTGGACTAAACAACAAGAAATGAGTTGGGAGAAAGAAAATCACATACCCCAGTAAGCCTCTGCCTTGCCATGTTCTGGGAGTCACTGTTAAGTTGATGAGTTCACCTTGCCTCATAGCCACCAAAGTTAAAGCGTGGCCCTGACTTGCCTGAGCTTCAGAAGAAAGTCGTTGGAGCAAATTATCCCCAGATTCAACATTCCCAAATTTCACAATCTGATCACCCAGCTGCAAACCATCCTCTGCTGCTGGTGAACCATCAGCTATTTCATCAACTACTGCAAAGGGTCTGCTGACTATCACATCAACATCCATGTCGCTGGGAGCATCTCTTTGTATGACATTACGTGAGGATTCTGATGCCGTAACAGCATCACCTTAAAATAAAAAAGAGGACAGAAAAAAAAGCCATGTGAATTCGCTGCATACCTATGCATATTACTTAAAGTAATGCAAAATCAGTTTACAATCCCAAAATGGCGATGTCTAAGAAGGTTGGAGAAAATATATACAATAGAGTTCTTGACTTGGTTTATTTTGAATGGTAAAAGCATCAAACAACTATATGAATTATTGTTGAGCCAGTATTTTAGAATACCTACATAGTGGGAGTCATCCCAATCAAATCTCTTGATAGTTCAAGATGTAAAAGAAGAATAAGGAGATCAAAGTGCACTGCTTTCACAATAACCTGATCAAATGCAGGGATAAATACTTTAGCAATCAGGATGCTACTGCATTTATCTATTTGATGTGGATCATCAGATATTAAGTGCACGATTGAGAGGGTACGGAGTGCGTGATTGAATGGGTAGGGATAGTTTCTCATCCTAGAGGCCTACATATAACCGTTTAAACGAATCTAAATAATCCTTTCATTGCAAAAGAAGTATTTCACTGTTCCTTCTATTGTACAAGTTCTTTATTTTCTCAATAATTCTGTCAGCCCAGTTTAAGAGTTTGCACCCAAGGGTCTAACACTAAAATAAGCAAATGCTTAAGTAGGTAGACTTGCCAGAAACCAATGCATATGCACAAGAAGGCATGATACATGAAACAAAAGGGGAAACGTAAACCTGGATTTTTCAGCATCATCAGCTTCCAAACACACAGCATTAGTGACCAAAATCATATTCTCGAAGAGAAAGCTAGTTTAAAGCTATTACAGGAATATATGTGACCAAATGAAGTCACTCCAGAAAAACTTAAGGTCAGACAAACAGTAATATGTCTGACCCCGCTAGAAGATGAACAAAGTAACATGAGTGTTTGAGCAGCCTACCCTTAGCCGGTGCCGATCTCGGAGCAAGTCTAGCTGAATGAAGGACTTGTAAATTCTCATTAAGTTTATCAGTGATCTCTTTATGGTCATTCCGAAGCTCTGCAATCAAACGAACGTCTCATCACAGTATGTCAACCCCCAACACAACTCAAGAGACAGCACAACCTCCCAGGACCCCCAAACACATGCTAAAACAGACTGCCTCTTGCTTCAAGACTAAAACATCCACAGCCCTAAAAGTAATCGACCAAACTGGAGCGAACCCTCAACAGCAAGGCTCACTAGCTCATTGAAAAACCCAACCGAAAACTTCAGCACCGCTAGCCGAGTTCCCATCAACCTCATACACAAATTTCTGTAGCGAAAACGCAGTAATCTAAAAGCAAACCCAACACAGTACCAGAGAGACGGCGACGCTCTGCTCGCACGACCGGGATGTCAATATCCGTCCGAGGAAACCCCTGCACAACAAGCAGAGCAACCCAAGTTTCAGACAGACAAAATTCGAACGCTCCGAATCGCTCGAACCCATCTCCTGTCAAGTCCTAAATGCTTCTTCATCTTTCTCTTCTGGGTACCTCGGAATCGACGAGGTTGCCGGAGAGACCGGGACCGCCGGGCCGGGCGAGGCGCTCGATGATGGCGTCCATCTCGGCCTCCACGGCGGTCCTCTTCTCCATCAGCTTCATCGTCTCCGCTTTCAAATCCGTCCCCACCATTCTCGCTCCCTGCTCTCTTCGACGCCGCACAGATTACGCTACACGGACGACGAGTTCTTCTTCCCTTCGGCGGCGGCGGCGGCGGCGGCGACCGGAGGGATTTTCGGCACTGGCTTAGACAAGAAGTCGCTCGAATGCATTCATCATTCCCATCTTAAACGAAAAAGAAAACAAGAAAAAAAAATACTTTTAAACGCATCCCCCTTCCCCCCCAAACTTTCAAGAATTATACAAAAAAAACCCCAAGCGGCGCCGCTGTCTCATTTGTATCCAAAATTCATAAAAAGAAGTAAATCCTTTTATTGCGTTTTTTGCCCTTTATAGCCACGAATTTTACTAATAAGAGGGGAAAATAATACAAACAATCGTTGAATTTTGGCTTAATGTGCGATGAGATGCCTAAACTTTTAATTTGTTCAATGCGGTCATTGAAATTTAACCCAATGTGCAATGTGGTCCCTGAACTTTTAATTTGTTCAACGTCGTCCATTAAATTTTGGTACATGTTCAATTTAGTCTCTCAATTATATGAAATTATTCAATGCAGTTCTTCCATTAATTCAAGTTCAGGGATTATATTGAACATGTACCAAAAGTTCAGGGATCATATTGAATATTAGGTTAAAGTTCAAAGACTATATTGAGCAAATTAAAAGTTCAGGGACTACATTATACGTTGGACCAAAATTTAGGGACTAATTGCCACCATCGCTAGATTTCTTAAAAAGGACCTACTTTCCTTTTTTGCACTCTATTTTGAAAATCTTTAGGAAATATGCCCAATCTACCGATTAAATTTCAACGTCTAAAAACAAGCAACAATTATGATTATGGTTAATACCACCATATATCCTAAATCGGTACATCCCTGCCACATTTACCTTAATATCAAAAAAAAACTTGAAACCGACAAACTAGTGCCGCAATTAACTTGAATTTATTTTTGTATCACAAAAAATCCCAAGCTACTATATATGTGCCACATTTACCTCTCGAAATTGATATTCATGTCACAAAAAATCTTGAATTGATACCCCATGACAAACCTAACAAAATCTTAGCGCAAAATGTAAGCAGAATTAGGAATTTTAGCAGATTTTTGAAACATAAGAGAGACCTTAGAGAAAAATTAGACAATTTTAGTAAATTTTCCAATCTCGGTTCATTTTTTACAAATATGGCTTCCTTAGAACTGCGTCACTTAGGAGACCTTTTATGTGAATTCCTATGTCGAATCTATGCCACCCGCCAATCATTTGAGTTGTTTGTCACGTGTACTTCTCCTTCAGCAATTTAAAGGAGGAATTGAACGGAAGTTAATAAATGGTAGATTTGTTACAAGTATATCAATTTGAGATTTTTTGTGATAAGAAAATTAGCTTCCAGTAAATGTGGCACAACCTATTAGTTTGGGATTAATTTTATTATATCTTATTATTATCCAAGTTGCATAATCCGTGTAAGTCCTTATAATTAAAAAAAATTGAATCATGGCAAAAAAACTGGTTCAAATCATTGACAGAAAATATATACAGGACTAGTATGTGTCTAATGGCAAGAATATTTAATTCATAGACAGGTTGTAATTTCAAGAAAAATATAATGGATAGGCAAAATAAGGTTAAGGATTCTGAAGAAATAATAATAAAACATGTTGAGAAAGTTCAGAAAATTGCAATATACCACTGATAGATATTCACCATGTATATCTAAGAGGACAAATGAAGAAACACAATTTGACAGGAAGTTAGGAAATAGGAAAGTTTTGTGAACATTTTGGCCATGATAAAGTCTATTTTCCCAGTGAATCTAAAAGACCCAAAGAAAGAGATATAATAAACCAAAAGATCACCCAAAAAAACAAAAATGGTCGAGGCTAGAAAGTGTTCCTACATGGTAAAGGTGCCCAAAGTATGTCACTACAGAAACAATTTTAGAACAAAACAAAAGATAGATGAACTTAGAAAACAATTGCTCAAAATCATGATATATAGTGATAGTGAAGAAAAGGAGCAAATCAACAGTGATTCCAATTGGAGTGGAGACAATCAGACCGATGTATTTGGACGATAGTAACTCAGAAAAATGCTTCGAAGATCGTGAATGTGCTACTTGTGTTTTTAATATTAATGTAATAACAAAAGGAAACCATACTATTATAGATATGATAAACAAAATAGATAATAATGAGACAAAAAAAATCATATTAAAAGACATCGAACTAAGATCACAGAATAAAGACAATAACAACAACAATAATAAAGATTTTCTTTATGAAAAGCAAACACCTTAAATTAAGTGTCATTACTTTATATGGTGCTCACTTTAGTACCAAAATTTTTCGAACGATCACTTAAATGTTTATTCCAATTATTCGTCCTACATGGCTTTTTGAATTATATTTTGACTCCGACATAGTTTTTTCTTTTCAAAAAAAAAAAATCAAGTCCAACATGACAATTTTCAACTAATGTGCCAAAAAAGGGCAAAAACGACGTTGTTTGGCCCTTTTGTCTCCCGATAATGGAACCCTAATCCTTGAATCTTCTCTAGTAAGCTTGACTGGAGAAGAAGAAAATCGAGGAACCATGGCTCAACCACGAAAGAAGAAGAGAGAGAAATGGAGGATTCGACCTGGGGGAAGGGTTTGAAGAAGACAACTAGTTAATTCACCTTTATCTTCTATTCTCCTTCATCTTCTTGGCCTTTATCTTCATCTTTTTCGTCTACGTCTTCATCTTCGTCGGAAGCAATTCAATTGCAACAATCGATTCGTTTAGGTAACATGCTTAATTTTCAAGAGTTTATCTGTTTCTTGAATTTTTGTTTTTTTTGGTCGAAAGAAAGATTCTGATCAATTTTTAGAATAATACTCGATAGATATATAGAAGGTTTTTAAGCCTAGCAATTCCCAAATAATTACAGAACAAAGTAAATGCTAGAATACAATTAACAAAGCACAATCTGCAACTAAAAGTACACTTTTCATCTCTCAAGAACAGATCTGCTATTGTAAACATTCGGTGACCGATCACCAGATTCAATGATGATCACACCCCAATATTTCCTACTCCATTTGTAATGGCTTGCGGTGCATGTGTAGGTTTAATGCTCTCATCACCATCATCGTGCAGAGACAACAACATCAATATGTTGAAAGAACACATCAAATACCTATAAAGAACTATCATATCTATATCTAAATCTAGTTTAGGAGAGTAAAACCTTCAGACTTTGATATAAATCTAAATCGGGAGAGGAGATCAATCTAATCTTGAAGAGGTCGTAGAGCCACATCACGAACATTCTCCTCAATGGCTATCGACTGGACAAATGGTCGAACTGGTCACTTAAGATTAATTACAGAAATTTATTCACGCACACAAACTCCTAAAACAAATCGAGAGAGGAAAGAAAAGATAATCAAAGCAGATAAAAAGAAAACCAAAGACTAACTAAAACTAAGAGCCTATAGGAAAGTTTCAAAAGAGGGAAGAGTTTTTGGGAGACGAGAGGTTTGCCGATGGAGAGAAAAAAGAATAAAACCCTATCCACTTCTTGATTGGAACATGCTTAATTTGGCAATGTTCGTTCAGCCCTGCTCTCCTTTGCAAATTTCATCAGCCAATTTTTCTCCAATCTCTCAATTGAAGAGCACAAATGGAAGTAGGGTCTGAAGTAGAGAAATAAGTTAGCCCCAATTCACAAATTTGGGGCAAATAAGACGCATAGATGACGTCATTTACAATTCATGTTGAATCACTTTGTAGGTGAACAATGTTGGTAAAAAAAAATCAAACTATTGCGATGTTGAATTTTTCGGTAACCCAAATAATTGATGGCATTGAATGGTCGTTATTTACGAAAGTGACACTCAAGTGATCGCTTAAAAAATTTTGACAGAGCGCCATACGAAAGTTATAAAACTTCTAGTAAACTTTTTTCCACCAGAATCATATAACTTTACAAATATTTTTAAAACCAAACACTACAACTTTTGTAGATTTACAACCAGATTTTTTTTTGGTCGAATTACAACCAGGATTAGCATATGTAAAAAGAGAGACTTAAGGTTCAAATTGTTAAACTAGAAAATTTTTCTCAAGGGCAAAGGATGATGCATCGGAATTAAAATTAGAAAATTTTGAAGAAATTGATGAATATGAGAAGCAAAAAAGTAAAAAAAAAATTGGAAAGATGTTGCAAAGAAAATCGAGCTTTAGAAATTATAGAGGAAACTCAAGGTAGACAAGGATCATTAAAAATTAATTCTATACAATCGGTGATTTCACAAAAATGGTATAGCAATATAACTTCAGTAGTAAATGAAGACTACCAAAGAATTGATTCCTAGAATACATAAAGATCATACCAAGATGAGTTGTCTGGTGCAAACACTAGTAGACTAAATATAAGAGGAATATATCGGATTATGTCGGCGGAAAGTATGTGTTAATCAAAACTTGGACCTACAATAGGCTAGAATTCATTGAACCTGGAAGACTATCAAAGATACAAGTGGTGCAAAGAGAAATAGAATCAAAGGAAAATATGATAGTGTGCATAAAGAAAGAAATTAGAAGGACAGAGGAAATTAAAAGAAACGGAGTTGCAGAATAAAATAGAAGATTTTAGGAATATTGTAGAAAAAAGAATTTGGGCCTTTATTGCAGATGCACTACTATAATAAGAACTAGGATCTGTTGAGAGAAATAGTCCTCTGATATGTCCAAAGCAATCCAAATGAATGAAGAACGAAGGGAACATTGTGAAAAAGAGATCCAAGAATTGTTAAATAAAAAACTAATTAGACCTAGCCATTCACCATGGAGTTTGTTTAGTATTTTACATCAGTAAGAAATTCAGAAATAGAAAGAGGAGTGCCTAGGTTAGTAATAAATTATGAACCCTCGTGCTCCGTTTATTTTGCGAAAATAAATACTATTAAAAATATATATTTTTAATATGATTGCTTATATCCCTTGAAATAATTAGTCAATTAAAAATAATTTTTGTATCGACAACATGTGAATAATGAAAATATTTTTTGATCATTTATTTTTGTATGTGATACAAGTGATCTTTTTTAATAACTCATTTTTCATGAAACAAACGGAGTCTAATGATGTAATGATTTTTATTTATACAAGGGTAAGAAGTTGGAGAAGCTATTGCATCGTTCAGATGATGTGGCCGATACCATATTCACCATTGGTTATACGTATCCTCGCCTTAAGATCCACATTGATGTGGCCAATACCATATTCACCAATGATCATATGTACCCCGCTTTAAGATCCACATAATTAATAGGGACAAGTGCACTATAAGTCCTAAAATTTGTCGCAAAAGTGTATTTGAGTCCTAAAACTTGCAAAATGCAATCGAATCCTAAAACTTGTCAAATTGATTTAATCGAGTCCTAAACTTAACACCGTTAAATTTACTAACGAAAAACGCTTACGTGGCGCTGACGTGTAATATTTTATTACTTTCTTAAGACACATGGTAATGATGTGGTATCTAACAAGCGCCACATCAGCAAAAACTAAAATTAAAATTAAATTAGAAAAAAAGCTATAAAAAAAAAAACCAACCAGCGGTTGTGGCTATGGCGGTGGTCAAGCCCTCACCGATGGTCGCTGGCCGCCACCATAGCCGCCAGGAAGGGCTGGCGAAGGTCGCCTGGGCCTTCCCGAAGCCCGGCGACCCTCGCCGACCTTAGGCGAGGCCCCACTAGTCCCTGGCGACGGCATGAGGCCCCCGATCTGAGGGAGGGTGCGACCCTCGCCGCAGATCTAAGCGAGAGTCACCAGCCCTCACCTAGGGTCACCCACCTTGGGCGAGGCCTCGCCAATCCTCATCGGCCCCAGGCAAGGGCCGGTGACCCTCGCTCAGATTTGCAGCGAGGATCACGCCCTCCCCCAGATCGGGGGCTGCAGGCCCTCGCTGGGGCCGGCGAGGGTTGCTGGGCTTCGGGAAGGCCCAGGCGACCTCCGCCGGTTCTTCCCGGCGGTTGTGGCGGTGGCGACTGACGAGAGCTTGGCCACCGCCGCAGCTGCTGGTCCTTGGTTTTTTTTCCTTTTTTTTGTTTTTTTATAGCTTTTTCTAATTTAATTTACATTTTTTTCAAGTTTTCTAACGTGGCGCTTGTTGGACGCCACGTGTTTCAAGAAAATTAATAAAATAAAACACGTCAACATTTTCCATTAGTTAATTAGACGGTATTAAGTTTATGACTCGATTGAACCAATTTAACAAGTTTTGGAACTCAATTACACATTTTGCCAGTTTTAGGACTTGTAGTGCACTTGTCCCTAATTAATATTTTAGATGAACTTGCAAAAAAAAAACCTTGGTCACATGATCTACAGCGTAAAAATTCTTATATGCAACTCGATCATGTGAGCCCACTTCATTTTAATCACTAAATATTGTGGATTCGATACGGAGTTACATTATTTGATGGTTGAGATGGATGGAGCTAACATGTTCTTGGCACATTGTAATATTCTTCTTGGGAAGTTGGGCCTCGCACGTACGTGGGTGGTCAAAGCAAAACGCACCTCGAATCTATTACCAGACATCCTGTGCGTCGCAATAATTGTCTTTTTCCGCCTGTCGCACCCCGACTCAGTCCTACAAGTTTCAACATCGCAACTCGCAAGCAAGAACCAAGAAGCAACGCATGAGTGGCTTCTTCGTTGCGCAGAGCTCATGTGATGCTTACTGATCAAGGGTCGATGAGCATCATCATGTAGCAATCGGGTAGTGAAAAGGGTCGAGAGAGAGAAGAGAGAGAGAGAGAGAGAGAGAGTGAGAGATCATTGAGAGAAGATGAGCGTCTCCCTCACGGTGATGACCTTCAATCTGCTCGATGATCAAGGTGAAGACAGCCCGAATTCATGGTTGAAGAGGAGGGATTTATGTATCAGTGTCATCACCAGCTACTCCCCCATCATTCTCTGCACCCAGCAAGGTCTGTGTGTGGGTGGCGCGTGCGTGTGTATCTTGGCTTCGGCTATTGATTAGCGGATCTGGGTCTCTTTGATTTTCCATTTTCTTGATGAACTTCGCCATGGGAGTTGGCAAATGGGCTACTTGACAAATGAAGAAGAAGCAGCATTTAATTTGTGGGGATTAAAACTTCACTTTGTCTAACTTCGATTTAGGAGGTTTCTTTATTCCAACAATCGAATAGCCAGCTGCTTTTTATTTGAGATCAGAATGTTGTGTCTCCCTCCTTGACTTTCTAATTTCTGTTCTTGTTATTGATCTTGCAGGTGTAAAAGCGCAGCTTGATTGTCTCCAGCAGTGCTTGCCTGGTAAATTTCACATATTCTCTATTTCAAGAATATTAGACAAGTGAGCTCAAATCTTCTGCTGCTGTTACTTCCATCTGTTAAGTTGACTAACAATAAGGTTGAAAATGAGTTTTGTTGAATTTTCTCTGAAATTCTATCGATATAATTGCTCCGTTGAAGTGATATAATTTGGGCTAGCTGCGGGTTTCACTCCGCGGTACTAGCTCAATGTCTTCCTCAACTATGGAACTCATTGTGGCTGAAGGTAGACTTTCATGAGGTCATGTATTTTGTTCCCAAGTTACCAATTTCACTGATCTTTAATATCTGTGAACATCTGAAACCTTAATGGAGGAGAAAGCGGACTAGGAGGGTGAATAGAAAGCTTAAAGAATGTGATATTTTGATGTTTCTCCTTAGTATGGGAAGGAAGGATTTGAATGTTTGGTTGATTGAACAGATAGAGTGCGCTCTATCCAGGTGATAGTTTGATATCACACTCTGCATATTTTAGGTGATATATCCCTTAAAAGTGGTCATGTGTCACCAATAGACCTGTCAGTTCCAATGTTTAGAATCATACCTCAAAGCTTTAGAAACAATTTAAGTGCATCCATATTGGAGTACATTTTTGGATGGTCTGGGTTGTTGTATAAGCTATAATCCAAGTTGCACATGCCATGCACTCCGTATTTGGAATTTGCTGTCTATGAAATGTTAATGTGATAGTCCATCATTCAAAAAGCTTCTAGACTGGTTGTGAATCCACTGTTCACAGATATAATGGACAGGTTATGATCAGTTTGGAATCTCAAGAAAAGGGTCCCAAGACACTACAGATGAGCAGTGCACCATTTTCTACGACAAAGAGAAAGTACTATTTTCTCCCTCTTCTAATCATACCATCAGAACATAATTGTTCGGAGTGTCCTAGCTTATTATCTGTCTGTTTTTTTATCACAAAAGGTAGAGCTACTAGAAGGTGGAACTTTTTGGTTGTCAGAGTCACCTTCTGTTCCCGGAAGCATATCATGGGGTTCGGAGGTTCCTTCTATTGCGACATGGGCGATATCCTTCTCATAATGTACTTCTGTTTTGACTGTCGGTCTTCTTTCTCCTCTAAAATATGCTTGACAATTGAAAGATGAAAAGTTATTGCATGAATGAAGAAAAGGTGTTTCCTTGACGTGATGCCCCCACACATTCCAATTGAAAGGCGTTGAGCCACCGGGTTTTTCGTTTCAGATAGTAAATACAAATATGGACGAACTGAGCCCACGTGCTCGCAGGAGAGGCGCATTGCTCACTTGGCAACATATTGCGTCTTTACCTCCTAGCTTGCCAGTTGTGTATTCCGGAGGATTCAACACTCAAAAGGAATCAACTACGGGGCGTTTTCTTCTTGGAAGATCAAGGTTTCATTGATATCTGGTGCATTGATTTAGGCAATGCTTGTCATGTGCAATTCACTTCCGTCACTAGCAAAAGCTTGATGCTATGGCTAGCACTAGCCGTATAATAATGTGTCTACAGAAATGAGAAGTGCCTTGATTGTCCTCTTCTGACTTCTGAGCTTGAGTCTCCATTAGGTTTTCAGAAGTGACGCGTCATGTTGAAAATTTCTATGCCTTATCTTATGTAATACTAATCTATTCGAAGCCTAAGCTCAATACTATTAGATCCTTTATCAATAAACTATCATATTTTTTAGGTCAAAATTCCTGCACCCATCATTGTTCAGCTTTCTTTGACAACAAAAGGATAGTTCGTGTGATATACCTTTTCTAAGTTATGTGGACAGATGGTCATATGTCTGATTCTTGCTGCTCCATTAGGTTTTCAGAAGTGACGCGTCATGTTGAAAATTTCTATGCCTTATCTTATGTAATACTAATCTATTCGAAGCCTAAGCTCAATACTATTAGATCCTTTATCAATAAACTATCATATTTTTTAGGTCAAAATTCCTGCACCCATCATTGTTCAGCTTTCTTTGACAACAAAAGGATAGTTCGTGTGATATACCTTTTCTAAGTTTATGTGGACAGATGGTCATATGTCTGATTCTTGCTGCTCCATATACGAATGAACAAAATTTTCTTTGTGTAGCATTAGAGTTTGCCTCAAACTCTTATATAAATTGAACAGGTGCAATTTTGGTTCCCTTTAATGATGACGACTTCTTTTGGTGGGTTTTTTCTACTTGCTGCAGAGAGCATGGTGTAGTAGGTGATATGAGGGATGCATGGTTTAACGCACGGGTGCGGAAGAACATTTCTCTTGTTCGCACTTACCATGGATTTAGAGGTATAATTTTTGGTTCTCAAGTGAAAAAGGGGCATAGTCCATGTATACTGCGAGTGAGTTTGTGGTTGTTTTGAACTAATTTTATCTTCGCCTAATAGGTGACAAGCAGGGAACTCTTGAGTACATCAAATTGATTTTCAGGGCACTCTGCCTCTGCTGGGATCGCCAAACTCAGGATCTACACAGAGATTGGATTCTTTTCCGTGGTAGATCTCTCATACCAGTTTCTTGTGAAGTGGTCAGTGATAACATTGATGGATGCTATCCATCATCCCACTATCCCATATTTGCCGAGTTTATGCTGCCTCGTAATGTAAGGATGCTTGAACCTCCTGCACAAGAAGACTCATAGTCTCTATCTTCGGTGGTTGAAATCTGTTTCCACCTTTTTGACTTTCTTGAGTTCCATTATTGTCGTCATTTTTTTGGGTGAGGTCAATTTCTTCGGCGGCATTGTTTATGAAGAGGGTATCAGAACAGCCAAGTTGTCAAATTAGATGACTGTACAACTTGTAAACTTAAATAGATGCAATGCGAGTCTTTTAACGAAAAGGGGAAGATGAACTTCACTCACTTTACTCCAGGGCACCTGTTTGGAAGTCATCGAGTTGAGCTCACCCAAAATACACTGCGGTTTCTCACTTGTTCACCTGAGAAAAAGTGCAAAAATGGAGATGTTTATGAATAGAGTGAAGGTGAAAACAAAGTGCTGTATCTAATAAGACTAGTTAGATGCAACAAGTCTCTCTGGAGAGCTGGTGAATTAGTAATTAAACTGAACTCATTTAGAATTTCCACATGTTCCTCTAATCTATTTACGGTACTTTTAGTTCTTTGAAGTAGATAGCTGGGTTGATCAAGCATGAGATGATAATGTGTCGTCTTCTCGTCTATCCCATCTATTGAACTAACTAGGAAAATCTATGTTCATTAAAACATCTCCAGATATCGTAGATACATACTTTTGCTAGAAGCTTATGTGTTGCCCATAGGCAAATAAAATTAACGGCTGCTGAAGTTACCGACGAATTGAAAAGTCGAGATGCTGTGATGGTTTTGGGACATTTGCAACTCCTTTCATGCTTGATTTCAATTACTGGGATTAATAGCCTTGTCTACATAGGAAGCGCCTTGTGATGAGGTAAAGAACATGCTATTCTTGGTTGGGAAGATTTTCAGGTACTTGTAGTCCAAGTTAGATGCTCGTTCGCAGTGAATGTAGCATGATCTACGGGTTCTAACTAGGGATGAGCCAGGGGAAGTGGCAAAGCCTATGAAATGTGCATGGTTCCTGGTTCCACGTGTAGAAACCATGATTACTGGAACAAAAGCATTCTTAGTAAACATCTTCTAAAATCTCAATTTGTGAACTGCGTTAGTAGGTGACGAACCATTTCTATGTTGCTTCATCATAGAGATTGTGATTATGATGAACTCGAAACATCACTTCCGATTCGTGTACCCAAACCGCTTGATTATCTGAAGGGCGCTTACGTGCATTTTCATAACTCCTCCCTAGTAAAGGAGGAGCCTTTTGTGCATACTCATTTCCCAAAATAGAACAATTCACAGCGATGACGGCCAGAGCCGGGCCTTGAGTTTCCGTGTATTAATTATCTCAGGGCAAGGAATGCACAAAATCACCTCTCTAAAGCAGACTGGACAGATACAATGAACACTTTCATTGAGTCTCAAGTCAAAAAAGAAAAGCCCAAGATAGCCAACAAAGGCGAAATTTCTTTTAAGTTGTTGACATTTTGCCCAAATCAAAGAAAATCCTAGCGTCCTGCACAATCACTTACACAGATATTGAGCATGAAATATACGTGATCAATTAGCTTGTCCCTCTCCCCGTTCATGGTTTTCGCTTGCTATGGTATTTCACATGGCGTACACATCAAACTTGCGTAAGTGTCACTTCTTTTCTCGTACAATAAGTACACAGGCCAAGGTCGATCATTTCACCAAGCTCAGGAAGTCGCGATTTCTGGTTTTTGCATCACGATCTTTAACTGGACGTTGCAACAAGCTTCCATTTTCTTTAGGCTTGACAGCAACAAAGCTTGAAACAAATACATAGCTTTGATTCGAGATAAAAAAGACAAGTGATAAAACTACGTTCAACCGGCAATCCATTAGATACAATGCCAAGCTATAACTTATGGAAGCATACGTCATCTTGAGCCTTCTGAGCAAATATAATCAGATACACAATCAGCATCACGTCTCAATCAAGTAGTTATTGTACAACAAATCTAATCTGCATCTTCGGCAGTGAAGTCAGGTTCGGGAGGCTTCTGCAGTTTCACCAAGTCCCTTGCACTCTTGGCAATCCGATTCCGATGAACCCCACGGAGTGCATTTGCCGCAAATCTGGAAGCTAAGAAGGTTGCACCAATGCTATAAGAACCACCAGTACCGGCATTTTTGCGTGTCCCATCAGACCCTTCGACTTCTTCTTCCTCCTCCTTTCGGCGGAGTTCCATGCTCTTCCTCTTGGAATATCGCCGCCATGCTGCCTGAATAAAGCAAGCGGCCCAAGTCCTCCACTGCTGCGAATAGAACCGGAACGTGTGTTGAACCTGCCTGCTATGGAGCCGACGAAATTGACTAGCCACGAACTTCAGCTCCTCAGCTACTAGGGCAAAAGCCTCTACTTCAGTTATTGCCCTGACAGTTCGTGTGGAGGATGGGAGGTTGGAGCCAGACTTGGGATCTAGGGCCCATGTTAGCAACTCCTCACCACAGAAATCCCCTTCTTTAAGCAAGCTGCGATTGAAAAAACCACTCCTGCCACCATCTGTAGTTACACTCTCAAGGCGGCCACGAATTATAAAGAGCATCTCGTCAACAGGATCCCCCTCCCGAACTATGAACGTGCTTTCGGTAAATAAGCTGGGCTTGAGACGCTCGCAAATTGCATCAAGTAGTCTTTCATCCATATTTTCAAAGAGAGGAACCTAAAAAAGTAGGCAAAGCAATAAATTGTATGGCAATATGAGACAAACCGGGATAAATTTTCATTCAATCCACCTGGATATGATGAAAATAAACACTTTCAAAAGTTTCGCCACCCTATCTGATGGAATAGTTTGGCAATTGGCAGATGGGTAAAGACACAGTAAAAGATATAGTTTCCAAATGAGTATCAAAACATATATAGTTTCCAAAGATATTGCCTCTTGCACTGGCAGTAATATTTGCAATGTGCCAAGATAAGACTCGGGATATCAAAGCAACACATATTTAAGATGAATTCCACTCATTTCGGGGTTCATTTTCAAATATAAACTACCCCATAAATTATGTGCGGTATGAGTAAGGTAAATAAACTGCAATTCACGATTCATAAAAACAAATTTTACCATGCAATACAGCATATTTTGAGCCCCAAATGTTCGGGTAACTGGAGACACTAGTAGCAGCAAATAATGCAACAACCATCTAAATGCATTATCGCATTAAGTATATGAATAGAATTAGCAAAATAAGTTAAAAAGATCTTACCCTCCTAACCAGAGCCAGACAAAGATGACGTTTGATATCTCTCCTGAGATCCTTTGGTAGACTTTGAACCAACGCTTCTTCGTCCACCCCTCTTGTCTCTAACCACTTATACTGGTCATAGCGTCTAACTCTTTCCTTAAGATCTGGTGGTAGCAGTCGATGATGCATCCACTGTTCTGAATCACGCCTCTTGACTCTCATCTCTTCAAGCCGGATAGTAAGAGATTGAAGATAGGTCTGTCACAATAAAAACAACTCACAACATGAGCATGTTGAAGAATTTGAAACGACACCGAAGTTCCGACTTTTCTTGAGATATGAGCATCTTCAACACAACTGTAGGAGCGCAAGTGAGTCATGCTACTTGCAAGCAACTCGAGTTCGCCTCATTGAGTACTCGAACTCAGCTCGATTCCTTTTGAGTTCATGTAGCTCGAGTACTTAATTGAGTTGAGCTCAAAGTTAAAATACTTGACTCGAGTAGCTTGCTATCCTAATCAAGTAATTGTATTTTAGATATTTTAATTACCTAATACATTGATAAATATAAACAAATACATATTGTTTAATTTTGGAAAAATGACATAAATAGTCTCTGAACTTTGGCCCAATGTGCAATGTAGTCCATGAACTTTTAATTTATTCAATGTGGTCTCTAAACTTTTGCTACATATTCAATTTAGTCCCTGAACTATATGAAAATGTTTAATGTTGTCCCTGAACCTGAATTAATGAAAGGACAACATTAAACATTATCATATAGTTCAGGGACCATTTCCGTCATTATCCCTTTAAATTTTCAAGCGAAGTGTACATTCAAAATTCAAGATCAAGCACATGCTCGAGTTTGAGTTCGAATGGAGCTTCAACTAAAACTTGTTAACTTATCGAGGCAAGTTCGGACTCATTGACAACTTACTCAAGTCTAGCTCAAGCTTGAAAAATCAAGCTCGAGTTGATTATCAAGCCTTGAATATTCAAATTGAGTTGAGCTCAAGTATTAAATTATGTTGACTTGACTCAACTTGATTACACTCCTATGCACAAGTCCAGCAACTCAGCAAGGATTTATCTTTTCTTACATGAAAAGCAAAAAGAAAACTACCCTTTTCCAATTCTTTTCATGATTGACTAAGAAATATTCCTGAATGAGCAAAGTGAATACAGTGGTGGCACATAACAGGAATTAATGGAAGGAAGGCAGGTTATATTGTCGCTATGAAATAGCCCTTTCCTGGGCATTGGGCATTGCAAATTAAAGTTTGCCTTCTATAGGTAAATTACACATTGTATCTTGTGTATTCAAATCATCCCTGCATCCTGGGTTCTTAATATAACAAAAGCTTTATATCCTATGCTAGGTACCATTATGGGACATTATAACCTATTTACCACAATACCACCACAAGCTGCAAGATTCCCAATAGTGTTCTTTAATTGTTGAAACCAGTTTGCCCTAAAGTAGGAAATTGTTTCAGGCAAATGAGCTGATTACTCACTCTCTCCACACTGTCAGACAAACAAAAGAGTGTTATTGTTAGTGTGTATTAATGAGGTGAAGGGTTTTTGACCCCATCTTTTGGATTATGGTTTGTGGCATAAAAGCTAGAAGACTAAAAGACAGAAGCTATGTTACCCTACTTTTGACTAATTGGCTTGTGGATTTTTCATCTAAAAATTTTGCAGTGATTTTTAAAGAATTGAAAACCATGATAGCATGACTTTAAATGCAACTAAAGTCATATCGAGCTTTACATTTATGGTCTGACACAAGTGAAGTAGATACGTAACCAGTATACGTCCAGTAATGCTCTCCTTTCACCTTTTGTCAATCAGAGGGATATATTACTGTTTTTATCACACCTTCTATGATATCAACAGGCAATTTACATATTTCCAGCTAATTGTGAAGCTTTTAGTGCGACAAGAAACAGAGGTATAAAGGAAACTAAAGGATATTTATAAGTTTGAGGATTTTATATGCATATGAAAGCAGGTATGGATTAATCAACCAGAGATAGATCTTGTCAATTGTTTCACAAAACACATCTTCATTTCTCTTTTCACTTATCCAGAATGAACAAGCACCTTGCTAGTACTTTTGAGGATGCACATAGAGCCACCGAATTCAACTGCATAACCTATAGCAGTCATTTACAAGTCCAATATACCAGCTAGTGTTGCATTGAACAAACCATTACTTATCCTTAGTAGGCAGTAGGCACATGAGTAGTTGAAGTGTCCTTAATAAAACAGGATAGGGAATCTAGACTGACAGATAAGATGAACCAACCAAACCCTAAGATCAGCACCTACCACCAAAATAGATAAGTTACGGAAGGTCCACAGTTAAAACTTTTACAGAATGACTAGGAATTAAGAGTTTACCTGCATGTTACCAATCAGGAGAGCAAATAGGATGAGACCCAGAATTGCTAATGAAATCGAAAATATCACTTCCCAAGGGTAGGTACTGGTCTGAAGCCCCTGCCCTAGTGTACTGCAAGTAACAGATTATCATCAGGAGGTGATTTTATGCAAGATATACATACAATTGACCTTCAGAGAAAGGATAAATGCTTCAACTTTCTCAGATAAATCTTTTGTATAAAAGAAAGAACCTCAATTGGAAACTAAATGTCGGTACATTTGACAGAATCCAATTAACCAATGGTGATGGCTAAATGCACCAGCTTAATACATGTTGGAAAAATTTATCAGCCATACAAGATAGATCTTCTCCATCAGCTTATAACAGAATAGAAAGTGGTTCTTCGGTAAACTCCAAACTAGAAACCTGTAGCATCTATAATTTACAATAAAAATCTCAAAAACCCTCAATTTTCTCTCCCTCTGAGAAAGCCACGGAACCTATGGAGGCATAGCAGCAGGTAGAGTTATTTTTTCTTTATTATCAACAAAACGATTCAAGATGCCCAAGACTCCTCTGCACAAATACTGTGCATCAAGATATCAAGCAAAAATATTAGCTACTGACATGGTAAGTCATAATCCCTTAATTCAGAATTTGCCCGATTCATCTCAGAATTTGCCCGATTCATCTTTATCTGCGGGATAGTGCATATTTCGAATCTTGAAAACAATGGTGCTGGCCTTTCAATGGCCAGATCTATAGTGTAGCCTATGTGCCACACCAAAGAGGTCATTTCATAATGCAAAAAGGAACAGCATCAGAGAGAGAGAGAGAGAGAGAGAGAGAGTGACGACAGTAAATTCTCCATTCTTATTGGAAGGCAAGAGGGACTAAACCACATGCTGGTGATCTCGTGCTTTGTAAAGTTGTCATTATGGTTCTTAAGTACACAAAATCCAGATATGTTAACATCATCTTACACCATAAGATGGCATTAAATATGAGGACTGCTTCCTGGAACTGAATGAAAGAGCTAGGTTTAGGAAGAAACATTCAGATCTCTTGTTCTTCTATTCGTAATTTACAACTTCAAACAGACAGGAGAATATTAATAGACTTGGAATTGACATATCACAGTTAAAAAATTTTCCTCTAAACTTGATAGTAAATGGATCCTGCTATAGTTAGGAATGTTTTTTCTCCAAAGTAAGCTTCCTCCATCTCTTTACTCTTCAACTTCTGTTACTTTGTCTCTTTGGTTTTTCATCGCTTGTCATTTTTTAATGCATACAACAGGCTAATCCCGTGACTCTTTCTGACAACCACACTACTGTATAAAGATGCCTCCATTTTCTTTTTGTTGGCTAAAGACAAGATAGAAAAAGGAAACAATATCAACTTAGCAATGAAACCTATTGCATATCTCGGCATGAGCATGAAATTTCTGTGACAAGTCAAAACTACTCTTGCCTCATTTTAAAGTCTTCTTATTACCTTTAATTCCATAATGAATGAGATTGCATGAAAAACACAAAGATACGTGATACATTATACATATTATAACATAAGATAACCTGAAAGTCATCTGTTACAATAATTAAATAGAATTATGTACCTTAAATTTTGCAGCCCCCACCACAAACAATAACAGTATTTTGAGATGAATTGCGTGGTCGACACTATTCCCGATGAAATTGCCGATTGGTAGATTCCATAATCAAATGGTGGGTTCTCACCATCTGCCGTACAACTAGTATTGAGCAAGCTTGCATTTGTGTTGTACCAGTCAATATAACCAGGCATTACTTCATTGCCACAGTAAAGAAAACCCTTCTTGCAGGTTCCAGTGCAAGCTTCCTGCCAGCATGTATCATTTCGTTCCACAGCCAACAAGTACCATAATGCCCCAACTATCTGAATAATTTTGAGAGTGAGTCATTTCGACCAACTGAAGTTTTGTTAACATATAGTAAACCAGCTACATGTAAACTGAGACCAATTTCAACCGAAGGTAGAATGATGGCCCAAAAAAAAGGTAGAAATATTAAGCAAATAACATAGCAACAGTTTATCATTTCTACCAATTGAAGTTTCTTTCACATATTGTAACAAAATACATAGTAGAAATATGATAGCTACAGCCAGCACTAAGCTAAAAGTGCACCAAAGAGTCCTGACTAATCTAGAAATCAGATAAATCATAAACTCCAACAATAAGAGATAAGCCAGTCTTACTGAAGTACAGCAAGCCATATCTGTTCATAACATTGTCCAGAGAGTATCACTTAAGAAATCAATAATCCATAACTATGTTTTTTCCTCTAAATAGTAAGTTTTAGCATAATTTAAGGAAGATAGGGACGTAGGATTGGAATCTCATCCTGAAGTTTGAAAAATGAGCATGCATCCCTATTCAGTGCGAGAGAGAATCCTATTGTCACCCCAGGGCGCTCCTTCAAAAGCCCCTGAAACCGACAAAAAAGGAAAACTAAAAATGATTCACGCTGCGTATTGATCCTGAAGACCTGATCAGTTTCCTTTTTCACGTACGAGTATACCACATTTCACTAAGATGCATGCGAACCAAATCGCTCGCCCTCCTTTTTCTCCAGCCACCTCCTTTAGATTCATCAGTAATATCATCTAGCAAATTCTCAAAACTCCACAATGAACAAAGGAACAGTTCACGACAGAAATACATAATAATGAGCCTAAAGATACCTAAACTAGACAGAGCAGAATGCAGGATAAACCGAGATTAGATAAAAGTCATCAAAATAATCCATCAAATAAAGTAGTAGAAAACAAAATTAAAAAATAAGAGCTAACTGGAATCACTCACATGACTGGCAAGCATATACAGTAGCAAATAATATGCAGCTCCAGCCCAGGCAGTCTCAGCCAAAACTCCCGCAGTCCTTTTTAGTTCTGAAGTCAACGGAAAGATGCGAAGAAATCTAAAAACATACTGCGCAAACACGATGAAAAGCAAAGCCCTCTTTGTCCCTAATACATCTGAACCATTCGATCTCCGAAGGAATCTCCAGACAACAATCTGCATTTAACAAAAGAAAACAATGTACAGTGTCCTCCATGCCCATTTCCAAAATAACAATCTGCAAAGCCTACAATAGAATTTTTCATCCAATATAATATACTTGCAGTATAATAACATAGATATCAGCCAAAACAAAATGAGTTTGGCCGAAAAAAAAAGAAAACTGGAAGTGTATTTTGGAACCAATCGAGCGAAACAACTCAGCACACGGCAGGAACCTTAGCATAGAAAATTTGGAATCAAAAGTAAAGAATTGGGTGCATTCGTTTCAAGGAAAACCAATGATGTGGAAAATATTTTACTAACAATGATTGTTTGTATCGCATAGTAAACGAGTCAATGCAAAAAAAAATTTATTATCAGTAACGAACTATGCTTATGTATTTTTGTTGATGATGAATATATTATTCATTAATTCATTTCTGTAAGCAATACAGGCCATCATTTTAAGGAAATGGTTTACAAATCATTGATTTTCAGCGAAACAAACACGCACTATGATGAGAAAAGTTTGCAACAGGGAGAAAACACGCAGCCTTGTGGAACTTCCAAGAAAAAGAACACAGAAAGAGTTCAGTAAGAACCTGAGGCAGGGGTAGAACAGCAAGAAAATCAACAATGAAGTACCGCCGCAAGTACCGTTTAGCTATTTGGGCAGGATCTATCACAAGTTCGCCGCGTCCAAAAACCCGGGATGATGGAGCAATATAAGCAGTTCGGAATTGGAGGAACATGTGTATGAGATAGAAAGTATCGACAACGGTTCTCAATGTGGTGACAGTGATGGCTAATTTTCTGTCTATGCCAATACAGTTACTAGAAGCATTAACGACAGGAAGATAAAAGAAAAAGGGATCCACATATATTGCCATAATACATGATATGACAGAGAGCTTATTCCAATACAGTAGGAATTTATCTTGAGGATCAAATATCTTTTTCTCCGATGATTTTAAATCTTCAGGGAACACTGCCCTAGAAACTCCAAATCTAAGAGAACGACCAATTGACTTAAGTCCTTCAGATCCCTTTTGCATTCCAGTTTTGAAGGACTTAGATTTGGCATTATTTGTGTGGCTGGATCGGCTCAACCCCTCAATGTTGAATCCACATTTCTTCATTCCTGTATCAGAAGATGATGATACTCTAGAGTCCAAATCGTCCAGCCTAGAAGTTTGAAAACAGTGTTAGCATGGAAAAGGCCCAACTTTTCTTTACCATTTTACAGCAATGATCCTTCCAACTCTTTTCATGAAACAGTAAAAGAAGGTAACAAAAAATCTCAGCATGCACCACACTTCAAAATTGCCTCGAAACGCAGAGAGCAAAAATATGAACCTAGATGAATAAGCCACAGTCTCAATTAACTACCTCAGAATGTTGAAATCAGATAGACCCAATGTTTAAGTTTTTTTCCAAATGACAATACGCTCACTCGTACATACATAAAAGAAAGTTGACAATGTTGACCTTCATCATTCAAGACAAAGAATACAACAATGTTCTCAAGAGCCCAGGCGGTTAGTATTTACAGGAATGAGAACTTAATGACAAGTGCGCAGATGGTTGCCCCATAATTTACCAAACTCTACCAAATGCCTGATTGATATGCAGGTTTTAGCCCTCAGCCTTCACAAATATGTATTTAAAATTGGCCACTTTTCTAAAAAATTTCATATGCAAAAGCTATTAGCCATCATCCAACATAGGACCTTCACTGTACATTGAATTCAAATGGAAAAAAATGGCTATTTCACATAATACCTCACAAACTTCTCTTGCTGGCCACCCATGTAGTGTGATTTCAAGCCACAGTCGAACATTATGCAGACTGAAACCAGATATAAGTCAACTGCAGAACAAGAAACTGGTTTAAGTTGCAGAAGGCCTCAAGTAGTATCACTTGCATTTGACAAAACCCCCAAAAAAAAACCCAAAGATTACCTAAAGGTCCTTTTTCATTAATGATGAATAGATAGGCACTTCCCCATCCACACATAGAAAAATCTATACTGGCAGACATGGTCACAAATACATCCTATAACTAAATCCATTTCAAATGGACACTTTATGCATGCATGCATACAAACACACTGTGTAGCAGGACACTTGCACAGCATGCTGTAGAAGCACGTCCATAAAAAAATGCAGCAAAACCCATCAATTTCGTCAACAGCAAAAGCAACAACACATAAATGTGTATTCCATTTAAAACACTTGATACAAGAATTTACGAAGAGTACTACCAAAACGTATAGAGCAAAACCAATTCTAGACTTGTTAAAAGAGTCTGATGAAGCTGATATGCTCTAACACCAGAATAATCTAGTGCAGCTAACTGATCCCTTGAATATCAATGTGACCGCGTGTTCTTAAAAACCAGAGATAATCCTATGATACAGTCCTCTATAGCAAAAATCCAATCCTTCGAAGCCTTTCAGAAGATGCTAACCGAGAGACGCATTGAAACAATATTCTGATGGAGAGCAAAACACGAGTAAACCCTAGCTTCGTGATCAAGCGAAACGTGAGCCCAAGCAAGTCATCTAAACATAAAAGAACTGCCCCCCCCCCCCCCAAGTGCATCACTTTAACTGCTAAGCTGCTAAGACAAGACAGCCCCATACGCTCCAATTTAGTGAAACCCCATAATTTGCCCCCAATATCTCCCAAAATAGCCCAACCAATTACATTTCCTCTTTTATCTTTCGCGACAACATCAGTTTCATACCAGACAGCCATCCGCATAGCAACGCCCATTAGTACCAGACCGCCAACAGATCCTTCACCGACCCATCACCGCAAAACGATCGCTCCGAATGAAATTTCGCCGCGGCCACCACAAAAATCAATCACACAAGACCCACCCACCTCCTCCTCGCGAACGAATTCGTGTTGACTAGCGATTGCGGCGAATTCGCGCGGTGTAGAGAACAGCAAGGAGAGAGCTAGTCAGATTCCAATCACAGACGAGCAAAAGGGGGCGTTGACCCAGAAGTTTGTCCCCCAGTTTCATAATCTAGGCGACACGACACGACGATGAGCATCAAGGCGAGAATACACCGATGAAACTCGGAACACGACTACACGAATGCATGATCAGAGCACGAAGAGCATCACCGGAGTCGGCAAATCAAGGCGGAAACCGGCGAAGATCGAGGGTGGTGGGGAGAGAGAGAGAGAGAGACGACCGGAGGACTTACAGTGAAACAACTGTCGCTGGTCCGAAATTTTCAGTCCATGGGATTGAAGATGAAGGAGAGAGAGAGAGAGAGAGAATGTAGTCAGAAATATCGTTTACTGCTGCAGCCAAAAATAAAAAACTGAAAAATTGAAATTGAAAATGGTTTTTTTTTTTTTGATTGGATAAATTCGGGAGAGGCGCCGATAATGCGAAATGACGGAATTGCCCCTGAGTTGGTGACGGCGAATGCGAGAGCGCTCGGTCAAAAGCGCCAACTGCCAAACGCTACGGTGACGAAGAAACCGAGTTGGCTCTCCTCAGTCCTCACGCGCTCCTCCGCCGTCGCGATCGTCGTTTTGACGTGGAAGGAAGTTGCGCCGAGGCCTGCTCGCTTGCTTGTCGTGTCCAGTGGAAAAAAGGGACATCATAACCAAAAAAAAAAAAAAATTTCTTTCGAAAGGGATAAAATAGAGGAATAATTATATAAACGGTCCATAAACTTTAGTCCAACGTGTAATGTCGTTCATGGATTTTTTATTTATTTAATGCGATCCTTGAAATTTAGCTCAATGTGTAATGTCGTTCATGAATTTTTAATTTATTCAATACGATCCCTGAATTATATAAAAATATCTAACTATTATCCTTTCATTAATTCAAGTTAACGGATAATATAGTCCAAAAACTAAATACATCAAATTAAACAAATTAAAAAAAATTAGGGACGACATTGCACATTGAGTTAAAATTTAGGGACCATATTAAACAAATTAAAAGTTTATAGACCATATTGCATACCGGGCGAAAATTTTGGGACCAGTTGTATTATTTGCCCATAAGAAAATGAAGGGCGAGGATAGTAACTGTGACAACAAGTAAAAAATATTATTCTAATTCTAAAAAATTATTTAGAGTTAGATATTGATCTATAAGGTCTCCGATATTTTGATATTAAAAAGTCAAAACGCTTGCATCCAAAATTCAGATAAAGAAAAAAAAAATTTTAAAAAAGTGAATCTAACATGCTCTTTGATTTTAGGGTTAACCCCACAAAAAATTTAAAACATTCTCACTGTGATATAAATACCCCAAATTTTTTTTGTATCACTGAAAACCTTAAATTTGTCCATTGTGACACAATCATAAAAAACCTCTAACTTATACCAGTGTGACAAATATACCTCCGATGGAATTGAAACAGAGGTATATATTTAACACATGTATAAGTTTGGGTTTTTCATGACACAAAAAAAAAATTTAGGGCATTGTGTCACAGTGGGCAAATTTATAGTTTTTGGTGATAAGATATTTGTGTCACAGTAGTCATAATTTTGAATTTTTTTTTATGGTATTTATCCTTGATTTTATTGGAGTATGACGTCAATTATATTTGACTGACGCAACTTTTGCTTAAAAAAACAGAGGAAATGCTGAGTAGTCAGATAATCGTTTGTTGTTCCAAAAAGAGAAAAAAACAAATAGAAAAATAAAAAAAGATAATTAGCTTTTGAGTTGTGATCGAGAAAAGCATGAATTGTTCACGGGATTGACAAACCCCCAGAGAGCATCATGGATAAGAGTGAATGTGAAATGATAGCGATATCCATTTGATCAACAAGGTTCGGAAAAATTATTTAAAAAATCATAAATTTATTACACTTTTATCAATTCGGTCATAAACCTTTCAATTTTGTCAATTGAGTTCTAAATCTTTTGACAATTTGCCAATTGAGCCCACGATCAATTTTAGCTAGAAATTACTGATGTAGACAGTTTTAAATAATATTTTAAATTTTCTTCTAATTTTTTTGTTTTTCTCTTTACATTTTTTTATTTTTTGGATTGAGGGCCGGCACCAACCCTCGCCGACATTGGGCGAGGGTCGCGACGCCTCACTAGATCCAGGTGAGGGTGCCGGGGCCCTTACCGGCCCCGGGTGAGGGTGTTGCGGCCTTCGTAGGGTATGGACGAGGGTCGCGACACCCTTGCCCAATGCCAGCAAGAGTTGCCGGCTCTCAATCCAAAAAACAAAATAAAAAATGAAAATGAAAAAAAAACCAAAAAAATTATTAAAATATTTTTAAATTTTGTCCACGTTAGCAAGTGGTCGTGCCACGTAGGACTGTCATCGTCTATATTAGTAATTTCCGGCCAATTTTGTCCAGATGAACTCAATTGACAAATTATCAAGAGATTTATGGCTTAATTGAGCCAATTGAGCCCTACTATACACATGGCTTGACGAAAGTGCAATAGGATAAAGACTTTTTGGACAATTTTCCCATGAAGCTCCATGTATGTGAACATGGATTGTGCCTATAACTGTGTATGTATCTATACATATATTCATGTATTAAGATAGTAAAGTATGGGGGTAAATCAATTACATGAAACATCGACTATTTAAACGAAATAGCTAGAAATTTGAATTTTGGCTTTAGCATAGCAAAATCCGTATTAACTCATTTTTCAACATAGTAACTTTGTAACGCTTGAGACTTTCTTCTTGGTATTCGACCCGTGTTTATTTTATAGTGAAAATGTATATAGACGAACGTTTGTGAAAGTAGCTTGAGCCTTGAAGCAAATTCTTTGATATACGCTTGGGCTTTTTGCCATTTCGGCGAAAAGCTCTAATAATTACCTTTTGATTAAAAACAAAATCTTTCCAAATCAAAACATTTTCGACAATCGTGAGAAATATGATCTTACCTTGGAAGATGGGCTTCCTTTTTGGCATATCATTAAACAAACGGCCGCTTTAATTTAATTAACAAAATTACATCCTAACTATAAAAGGGGGTCTTCAGCTTTTTTTATTTTCCCCCAAATATAATTTGAAAGAAGTCGACTCAACTCGTCAAGCAAACCCCTAATTCGAATTAGTATTAGGGGTAACACTTGATCATCTCATGAACATTTTAGATGTTATCATGGGCATCTCATCTATCAAATCCATTTTTTCTTATCTTATCTATATATAAACACGCATTTAGGAAATAAAATCTTCTTTTCATTCCAAGTCCATCTTTAGTACACCAACAACTCCTTAATAGCCCATTCAAATAAGGATCTTATTTGATTTGGTCTTGGTCGTTCAATTCCTAATTTTTTGGATAGCGATTATGTGCTGTTCGGATCAGTTTTCGTGCATCCGTCCGTATTGGCCTGATGCATGCGAGATTTTACTCCTAGGATATTTTCTACGAAGCTTAATAAACCCCAGGAGCATAAGTAGAAAAGCAAACTCCTTTGCTATCTAAGCTACTATTTGGTTGGCCAATTCCTAAGTTTATTTATCTCAAAGGACGGATCAATTAGCATAATGGTCAATCAAATCAAAATAAGACCTTTGAAGTAGCTCAATACATTCTCAAATCGAGAATAAATAGACAAATCACCAATGGCGCTCGCCCACCATGGCTCATCCACCATGGCAAATCTCTCAATTCGCCATACGACAAAGCACCGACACGTCGGTGCCTTGCCGATGTCAATGCTTGAGATGGGTTCCATGGTAGGACACTGCGAACTGCAGTATAGAAATCGATTTGGCACAGCCAAACGATCCAAGGGACAAAGGACAGGTGAACTCCTTTCTTTGGGTCCATGTCAAGTACATAAATCTGTAAATAGTTATATGATGTCCGGTTCTCAGACAGCGTATATTCGCACGACAGTCACAGCTTGCAGCTTCCGTCCTCATCTGAACGCGGGCATCGGGAATCTCGGAACATGTCCCGGCTACCAAATCACTCATATAGGCAATTAAGCCCCACATACCGGATGAATTAGGAGTTTCTTCCTTGAATAACATTAGGATAAAGTAAAAATAGAACTCATTTCGTTCTTGTCAAGGAAACGCAATCTTGATTATGTGTTGTGCAGGACTAGTGTCCACAGAGAGAGATTAAGTGCAAGTGTGCAAGTGCTTCCCGCCGGCCGTGAAGATCCGGACCTCATGTCCGAACTTTGGAGAACAAGTTCCGAACACAGGAGGAAGTTAGAAGTATCATTAGGTATGAAGAGTTCCAGGGATGTGAGTCTGAAAGTTTGGTGCAACAAATAGCGCAACTATAAAACGTAAGCTAGATTTAGTTGCTGCTAGGTGTACAAAGGAACCGAACGCGTTACCACTTCTCGAAAAAGAAGAAAAGAACGATTACGAAATGGAAACTGTTAAATTCAATTGCTTTGGTTCGTGTAGTATTTCAGATTCTCCATCTCAGGATTTCCAGAGAATCTCCCTATCATTCACTTTCACTATGCCAAAAAAAAATTACGGTTCAGATCGCGACCTCCCATAATTCGATTCACAAGGAATGCATTCTCGTAATACACGGGCACAATCATTTGTCAACCTTGAGAAACTCTACCGTTTAGACTCGGGCATGCCGTATGGGGAAGGATCGGGATGAAAGCTTATATAGCAGTCGGTGAACTGTTCATGACTAAATCAAACCAGCTCTCGTGGTTGTAAGGTGAACGAGACATAACAGCCCGCCAAACAGCAAGAATTTGCCTCAACTACAATTTTGTACTGCACAATATGTCCTCTGCAAATTGTATATCACCTGCAGAAACAACGAATATGCATCCGTTAGTCTAATAAGATGGCAAAATCTAGGGCTGCATGTGGTTATGTGTATAATTTCCAATAAGAAGAAATCGGATTGCAATACACACCCCGGCGCGCGGGCATTATCCAAAATAAGTTGAGGGAAATCACCAGTTTAAGTCAGAAATGACAACTCTTATATATGATGTTTGGCACACGTTGAAGACCAGATATAACAAAAGAAGTTACAAAGATAAAAATGAGATTCGCCCTCATAGTTTGCCAACCATTGGTTGACCACCTACCAGAAGCCCATGGTCGGTGCTACACACCAATGAGCTGGTAGCTGGTAAACAGTTGTTAACATGCACAAGGATTGGTGACCGATTCTATGAAGATGACCACCTGAGCTGCTGCAACTTAGTCTCAGACCAAAGTCTGAGCTGTGAACCTTTCATTCTATCCTTCCTAAACCTTGGTTGCAATTGGGCTGAGCAGTCCCGACCCAATTTGGCCTAACAAACGAAGTTACAGCACATTGCAGCAACGGGATGTATGTGTGTGTGTGTGTGTGTGTGAGAGAGAGAGAGAGAGAGAGAGAGAGAGAGAGAGAGAGAGAGAGAGAGAGAGCATCCAAAGCAAGGGCTTGCCTGGCCACTCACGATGGTATGACCTACGTAGATATCACGACAGAAAAAATCGAGCTCTAATTTTCTGGGAAACTTTCTCTTTCCATCTGAGTCTCTCTTGCTGGATAGGCTAATCCCATCCAGCCTTATTTGGCCCCTTGAAGTTGGAATCCATAGACAGTCTATATCCATGCTTATCTAGCTCTCTATTGCATCGAAAGGCCACTGCCAAACACCTATCCTATCCAGAGTCAAATAGGATTTCTCCAAAGTGCAGTCTAAAAATTAAGAAAGACGATATTTAATCATATTAGAAGCAAAGAATGCACATTACACTTAACAAGGACAAAGATCTATGGCATTCAATGCATGATAATACCATTTTGATTTTTTTCACTTATTTTATCAAGGTATATATCATCAATAACTACAAATTTATTATGTTGAGAGACTTGCACAACAAAAATGCAGTAGGAGTACAGTTATCCATATTTCCCATCTTACATGTCCACAACAGTCAAGCCATGGCTTGGTAGGATCTCATCCAATTGTTATTAAGTATGACCAAGACATAGCTTCACAGGGGCCAAGATGGAAAGCACAATAATTTAAGCTTGGAATAGGTAAAAAAAGAAGAAGTGCCATTTGAAAAAGCTGAGAGAATAGAAGTTTTACAAGAATAAGAAGAAATAATAAAATCAGTAATTATCTAAAAACAGAAACAAGTAGAAATTTGAAATCGATGTTTACCCAAAACAATCCTTGGTGCATGCATGAAGCACAATTAAAAGCAAGCTTGCTCACTGTTTACCTTATCAACAGAAGTACTTTTGTGTGCACCAGCATTCGGCAAAAGCTTAACAGAAAATGATGATGAAAATCACAAGCAACTAACTAGATCAATAAGTAATCTGCATCACAGTATTTGATTTCAATTGAAGATTTAATTAGAATTTCATCAAAACGCTGTACTAGACCGTAGATTATTTTAGTTTGCTTAGTAGATCGTGGAAATAAGCAGCACTATAGTTGACTCGTACCTTTTATCTCTCCATTGTGCCAAAAAAATGGATTAAATTCTCAGATTGCAGAAGGAACTGAACTTGTCTTCGTAAGTTCCTCATCCTTGACAATTCAGAACTTTTGCTATAGTACTTTTAGCTTCATTGCACAAGGTTTCAGCATCACTGCCTTCTATTGGCTTATGTATAACCACTTTCACAGATCCTGAATTTACAATGCCCTCATGTCCTGCCGGCATGATTTTGCCAGTTCCAATCAGGGTCATAGGTACCACAGGCACTCTGGTCTTCGCTGCAACACTAAATGCACCTTTCTACATGTCAAGATAAACAATGCATCAGAAAATACTTTTCCATCTCAGTAGATGTCAAGAAGTGTACTCTTCGTTTCTCATATTAACCAGAATGTCATGATTTCTTAAACAATTTATACAAAAAATAATGACATAAATCCCGTATCCATGTTGAAGTACAAATAGAAGATCATATCACAGACTTGACAACGCTGGTCTCCATCTATGCAGATAGAAGCAAAATTCAGTTTTCTTCAACTAATCTCATAGAATTAGCATTTCGATACTATAGAAGGCCAACGGGGCATCACCTTGAAATCACCTAATTTTCCATCTCTACTCCGTGTTCCCTCCGGAAAGAAAAAGACAGATGCTCCCTTCTTAATGAGATCCATGCACCGCTTAAAACATTCCTACATGTAGGGAACCTAGAGTGTCAGTAAACTGAGAAAAAGAACAATTTTATCCATAAAACCTACATCTACACCAGGTAAAGCATTGCAATGAGCAGAAGACAAAAAAATATTCTAAAACAATGATCTACAATAAAACCAAGATGAAATTCCATACTACAAGTCTAAAACTGTTACCTACAAACCAGATAATACAAAGGAACACTTCATCAACAAATGAAAGAAGAGAATTTACCAATTGGCTTCGGCTGTCCATTCGTTTCAAAGGAATAGTACCCAACAAATACATTGCCCAACCAATAATGGGATAGAGGAATATGCTGGTCTTGCTGATGAACTTGAAGCTTCTCCCCAGGGTGAGAAGAGTATATATGTCTAAAAAGCTCTGATGGTTGGAAACATAAACAGCAGGAGTGTCTGGTGGAGGAAGATTCTCCAATCCCTGAACTTCAATTCTAACAAACGGAGCAACGGTCAATGTAGACCAAATCTTGGCAATGAAGTGCTGAGCTTTTCTCTGATATCGGTCCAAGAGGAACACAAAAGGATGTGCCACCAGCATTAGCTGAAAAAGAATAATTGCGGCAATTGCAGTGACAGCGTAGAAGCAAACTCCTCTCACTTTAGCAAGCACTTCATGCGCTGTGATTCAACAGGGAAAACACAAAAGGATTGAGATTAAAATTTCAAATTGGGGGCGAGGGGGTGGGGCGAACGTATAAAATAGACTTCAAACAGACCTGCCAAGGGAAGAGCTGCACCAGAATTCCCAAATTCAGCCAGTTCACATCTTCTGACAGTATACTTATAATATCTATTCTGGGAGTACAAGTTATCATAGTAATATGGCCTGTTGAACTTGACTTTACGGCTAGGATGATGCTGTAAAGCAGGGATTTGCTTCTTTGAGTGGTGGAAAAAGCATTTTGAAGAAACTGAAACCAGAAGCAGCGAAGGCTAGGAATTAGGTGTATGCATATTTACTGCAATGCAAGCATAAAAAACTCACGAAAGAATTTAAGGGCTTACTACAATGATGCAAGAAGAATCTAAGTCTTAAGGGGTAAACAAAACTCATGAGGAATTGAAGTGATGTCTAACAATGTGAAAATGCAAACGGTACCCACATCAACCTAAGACTCTTTATGCTACTCTTGTTAGTCCCCATCACTCGACAATCAGTAGAAAAAGCAAACCTCACACCGAATCTTCAAGAAAAATGGACTTTTTCAATAAATTTAACTTTAGTAAGGAATGCATGTGATTAATCTCGTATCATGTATAGAGCCTAAACATCCCAAAAAATTTGTCTTATGCCCCTATAAAATTAAATATCTCTTACTTCATCTTTTTTCCTTGAATAAACTCCTGAAGATCAGCAGTCGATACTCCCTTCCATCTATGTACTTTCATCGTACACTGTCCTCATTGTATAACTCGACTGAGTTGTGTCATGTCACATACCACCACCTCTAATTCTTAAAAACCTAAATACAAGAAATAAACAGAAAAACATAAGCAGCAAATAATGTCCTAAAAATTGGTTTTCATGAAATTCAAAACCTTCCTCTATAGTGCCCCTTTTATCCCTTAGATTTCCGCATCATCTACTTTAACAAAAAGAGGCATAGGGTTGCTGTTTTCACCTTTCTCCCCCCTTAGTGTGAGTTTCCATCTGAACCAAAAAGGACCATGGGGGTGATTGCTTTGTCCCGCAGAAGTTCATTCGAAAGATAGATACTTATAGCAAACAGATATTTTGAGCCATTGAATATCTTTTATGGACATGGCACCTTTTCAAAAGCCACTACCATATCAGTGGCGTCAGGTTCCCACAAACTACTCAAGTTCCAAAGAGTCACCAGTTGAACCATATTTTGGCATTAAAAGAATGAGAAAATATAGTTGATGGCACAGCACTCCTGAACAGCCAGTATTGCAGAAAAGTGGCACAGCACTCCTGAACAGCCAGTATTGCAGAAAAGCAAAGGCGACGAGACAACAATAATATCATTTTGTTTATGGCATCATGGATATCATTCAATGCATTCTTACCCTACTTCTTAGCCATTCAACACTATATAAAAGAAATTAAAACAATAATCACCTAGCTGATCCTATCCAATCAATTTCATCGCATTCCCTCCAAGTCCATCCACCATCTAACTGCACCCCCACAGGTTTATATATCTTCAGGAAAAGGGATATTATGGTATCATCGACAGAAAACTGTCCCCAGCTAGTGTCATAAATCATTCTCACTTCTCATGTTTATTGTCCTTTCAATACATCCAAAATCATCACTCATATGTGTGGTTCTTAGAACAGACCCAACATATGCACTGGAGGTTTTCAGAAGGAATAGCCAATGATGAGCGCAACATACAAGCAACAGGAAGCCCCCGGAAGGAAATCTTTGAGTTGCTTGAACAACACAAGATTCAGAGAAGAGAGATAAATAGGTCAATAAATGTTGAGTAGTGCTTTAATTTTCTTCTCTTATACTAGTCTTGAAGCATGGATTAACCTCCCTTTCTGCTACACAGCAAAAATGCAGCACTAGATACGGGCACAACACAATCAGACCAAATCATGATCCGAGATTGTAACTTTAAGCACCCTGATCGTGGCAAGGCCCTAAGGAGGTCATCTATAAAAGAGCAAACTAGAAATGAGACACCACAATGAACCCATTCATATCAATGCAGCTCATATAATGAGCGATCTGATAATGCAGTTTATTGCCACTCTTTATAATGTACACGCTAAACGTGAATACTTACAATTACTGGAACTTCTAAGAATCGAACGTCTATAAAGAGAGTGCCCACTATGAACTCCTGCTTTATACACACAAAACTGCAAAATTTCAGACAACAAGAAAATTGTCAGCCCCGATAAAGATGAGCGGAACGTAAAGGCTATAAAGAAAAAAAAAAAAATTCAAGGCATGGTATCATTATGAACCTCATCTAAACTGCCAAGCAACAGATGCAAAACAGAAGATCAGCCTTTGTTCGTATCCCTTTCATATTTTCACTTTAATCCTACATGCACACCACTGTCATGCCTCCTACTATTTGGCAAATGATCAATCCAATGTTCAAAGCTTCTAAAAAGATCATCTCATGCTCCAGTCAACTGACACTCCGACTCAGTCCCCAGCTTTCACCCTCCTCTTCCAAACGAAATGCATAAAGCGACGCCAAGTCCAGGCGCGCTCGAACTAGATCGATAACCTCGGGAACCGCACGCGTCCCGCCGACACTCCGCGAAAGGAAACACTGTTCGAGCGACCGCACTAACTAAATTCGAGATCGAACGAGGCCGAGAGGCCCAGCAAGTTCCAATCGCGAACGAACGAACGAACAGCGAGAGGCGGACGCGGAGATTACCGGCACGAGAGGCGGCGTCGGCGGCGGCGGCGAGGAGGAGGAGAAGTTCCGCGAGTCCCTGAAACCTGAATTCCGCACTTCGCAAGGAACGCAGAACGAGAGAACGAAATCAGGAAAAAAAAAAAGAAAAGAGAATTCCGCCATAAAAGCACCGACGACGACGACGACGACGACGACATGCACGCCGAGAGAAAGAGAGAGCGCACCGTGGCAGAGCCGTATCGAATGCGGGGAAGAAGAAGAAGAAGAAGCGACTTCCATGGCAGGAGCTCCGCTGTGCTGAGCGGCGGCGATCGCCTCCGGCAGATCTCTCTCGCGCTCTCGCTCTCTCTTCTCCGTGAGAGCTCGCGTCGTTTGGCGGAGCGACGAGGGGAAGGAGATGAGAAGTTGATACCGATTGAAGTTTGATCTTCAAAGTAGATTTTCGCCAATTTCAAGGCATCTCTGCCGGTGCCTTCCTCCTCTTTATCCCACGCCCCACCTTTTTTATTTTTTTTATTCCACTGTTTTTAATTTTTGAAAACCCGTTTTTTCCCTTTACTTTGATTTTACTTTTTTACACACAAAGTAAATTATAAAAACAAAAACCCAACTAATTTGTATGGTCGCAACACGTGAAGACATTAATCCAACATAAATTCAGATATCATGTTTTTTTTTTATGTATTCTCCACATTATACTTTAGACGAGTGTATTAAGAAAGTATTTTGAACTGAGGTCGAAATTACACGTAAAATAAATTAGTGATTTACGAGGACAAGAAATTATTTTCGATAGCTAAAAAATTCTGATGGTATAGTTATTTCATAAAAATTGTCTTGATATGAAATTTTCCATTTCCGTGTAGCTAATGTTCACTTCTATCACTAAAAGCAAGTATGTATGGAGTGACTTTGTTTCATTAAATTCCATTTTATTTATCTTCATATACAATATCTTACGACGAACTTTGTATCGTGTTTATGTATTAACATTGACATAAAAAAGGTAGTGAAAGTAGGCAAAAAAAAAATAGGGTCAATACCGCAAAAAATATATAATAGATACATCCGTGCCACATTTACCTTAAATTAATTTTTCGTGTCGCAAAACAATTCAACCCGGTACAACAGATGTCTCATTTGCCAAAAACTAATTTTCGTGTCATTGAAGATCCCGAATTGATACACCCGTGAAAAAATCTACCTTCTAATAGTGTAGAGTTTACTCCCAATATCGAGCGGGCGGCACGGGGCCATCAACATCGAGGAGGTATCGGGTCACCAAGCAGAGCTGCCTGCCACCATGCCGCCTGGTCCGGTTTCTGTGCTTTTTGCTCTTCTTCTCTTTAGCTGCGTGGACATTCCTCAGTCAAGCGTCTGGGAGTTAGAATACAGCAAGAGCTTCCTTCATTGCTGCCCTGTGGCTATTATTTCATGGGAACTCAGCATCTTCTGGTAAAGCGGATAAAGACCTGCGAATTGGTAAGAGACCACAAAACTACACGTCCCGAAAGATGATCCTAACATGCCCTGTAGAAGATATCTGGTGAATGAGGCCAGTTTCTTAACTTCGAGACCGGCCAATGCAGATTCACACAACCTCTCTGCTATCCCCACGGCCTGTAAAGGTCCCAGAATGGATATCTCATTAGGAAGATCGCGGCTCACCATTCATAGGACATGAAACTAAGCAAATGAAGATGCATACCGCGTTCTTGGTCATGAGGCTGTCCTCGAGAGCTTTCAAAGCAGGTTCCAAATCACCCTACTCCAGATATGCTTTCTGCAATACTGGAGAATAACGTCCATGATCAATTTGTAACATCCGACTTGTTAAACGGAAAGCGAGTACGATCAAAATAAATCTGAATCGGATTCAAAAGAAAGTCTCAGGTTCTTCTCCGTCCTGGAGGATTGCTGCTGCGCTATCTGAAGCAAAGTTTCACTACAAGAACCCAACAGCATGTCATTTGTACCAAGATAACATAAAGCACTTCATCACATAATCATTGACCACTTTCCACATTTTCCTTCATTAAAGGGATTCAGTTAATAACTCCAAAAAATCAACTCTGCGCCATGAGAAGCCGGAAGGAAGCATATGAAGGCCAGAATGATTATGCATATTCAATGACTAATGAGAATCCCGAAAGAGAACTTATTTTTTTTGGTCGTGCCTGAAAGATAACGTAGGTTGCCCAAATAGTACCAATACAGAATACACATACCGACATGGCAGTAAAAAGATTGATTAATGGTAGACTCGAACTGTGAGACAAATGATAGTAACATATATGGTAATGACACAATTAAGCAGAATTGATCTGTCAAATACTCCATTGCAAGGTCTGAGAGTACGCCAATGCTAACGCTTTTACAGAAACAGAAAACAACAGATAAAAAACAATTAGGACATATCTAAAAATCAATGCTCTTAAAAGAAAAATGTAAAGTATAGAGTATCACATCGGACAGATCGTCTTGAGGAAATGAAAAGTCTGGATACCCCCTATTATGAAAAAAACAATGGACTCAATGAATTAATCGCTTTCCAGCTATACTTCTACTCTACATTGATTACAACAGTTTTAAGCAAAAACTATGGAACAGCTAGAACTTGGTCATGCTGGGTGTCAGACAGTTCAGCAAAAGGAAAAACCCTTGTCGAGCCGGACCCTTATGTAATGTCTTCTAGTGTGTGTTGTAAGATATTCCAACTATTGAACACACTGTAATCACCTCAAACTACCATTTCAGCTTCTCTGACATCTGAGGGAATCCCTACATCCAATCTCATGGTTGGTTTATACTGCTCTGGCACGTTTGCACCAGCCTGCACACATATCTCAACCACCACAGGTGCTTTTCCATAGAAGCTTTTTAGCTCTCGTTGTAATGGAGGGCCATCAGCATTGGGAACATGCCACACGAATCTAGGAGGTATCAAGTCATTGAGCACAGCGGACTGCCATCCGTGCTGCCCGTTCCTTTGTTGGTGCTTGTGTGCCCCGCAATTCTGTGCCTTGTGCCCAGTTGGACCCACGTGCACTTCTGGGCAGTATCCACAAACCCTCACGGGGTACATCCTCATCAGCCTCTTGGCTCCACGCCTCATCTTCTCCCATGCCTGCAATGTTTCCTCTGCAAGCAACAGCCTTTCTTCATCATCAGATGGAGCTAGCATCTGAGAATCAGGTAGTTCAGTCAACATTGGAATTATGGGAGCTTCTGGGACAGGGTCAGGGAGCTCGCTCTCATCTGCATCGACAAATTCTTTCTTCCCAATACGAATTATAGGCTTTCTCCTCCTTTTCGTAGGTAAGTCAGGAATTTCAACACCAGCTTGGATGCAGAGCTCAACTACAGCAGGGATTCGAGGAATTGAAAACCTCTCATCATGAGAAATACGCTTCCCAAGTCTATCATATAGGTGATAAGCTTCAACTGGTGGTAATATATCTTCAACAGTGGCATTTGTCCACTCATGAAGGCCCTTGCGCATAGATGAGGTTGGACCTTTACATGATTTGAACGGATGCCCAACAGGTCCCACATGGATTTCATCACACCACCTGCATGGGATATGGTGGAACATTCACCAATTTAAAAGTAAATAAGAAGAAATAGATATGTGAAAACAATAGTGAAAAACGGAGGCTACATGATAAATAACTCGGCCCATCAAGGACTAGATCTATTTAATGGATTGAACAGTAAAGTGCCACAGTCCAATGATCAAACAGATGTAACTGTAAGGCTAAGAAGTCAAATCTGCAGTCATTCAATTTCTACAATAATCATGTTATGTGGCCCCTATTTTAACAACTATTAAATAGTTCAATAGAGTTTCTCCCGCCAAAAACACCGTCTATGGAGACTGCCATTACTGAATCATCTAGAAAATTGCTGTGGGCCATAAAAAGATGTCCAACAGCTCTTAGGGGCCAAAAACAAAGATGAACTAGAACATTGAAAAGTGTAAAAAGAATGTAAAACTCGGTCAACATGTCATCTAACTCTTGAATGAAAAATAGTGGTTTAATTTGTTTCAGATGTGACTTTGTGGACAGGAAGAACACTTGGTAACTATTCTACAAGCAGACATGAAACTATTGTGACAAGCGAGGCAAGATAGTCCTTTCATGTAAAGAAATGAAAGCTCAATTGTCTCTTGAAAAACAAATTATAGCGACAGATGCTGTGAGTTTTTGTCATCAGAAAAAGGATCTTCAAGAAAGACCATTAAATGTGCAAGATTATTACCCACAAGCATGGACCGGTACTACTTTCAAGAGTTTCTTGAGATTGTTGATTAATGTAATCCTTGCATTGAAAACATCATAAGCCAATGGTATAAGGCTTTTAACGACCAGCCCATTTTTCGGAGCTGAAGGAGGTCTTCTGGGCTGATCTTTCCTTTTCTTAAGTCTCTCCCTTGCTGCTCGCCTCAACTCAACAATTGGTACTTTAAAGGGTTTCTTCTCTTTTCTTGAGTAGGAGCGAGGAAAATCTGCATTTTGAGGATGATCATTCCTGATGGACACCACATACTGTCGATATGACTTATCTGATGAGACAGAAGACGCTGAAGGAATCGAGAACCTCCAACGGTAACGCTGCAAAATATCAAAATGTAACCATAAAGGCAAACTTTAACAGCAGTTTTGTTTCAAGTAGCTCGTCTCCACTGAAGGACCAGCGGCACAAAGGTTAAGGACACCCACATGATGAAGACCCTTCAGAAGGCATGGTTCCTAGATTTGCCAATCGGTACTTCTATCTTTTTACTAGTAGCAAATACAAATCCCAGTCAACAAAAAGGGGCTGTCGGGAAGAAAAAATGCCGGTGCCCATGTTTCTTAAAAAGGCTGCACCTAAGGTGGAAGTTCTGTCTGATGAAGGAACACATGTTATCTGAACTTAGAAGTGGTTCAGGTTATGAATATGTTGTGGCACAAACTACATGGACCTAGCATGGATAGGATTCTAGCTGCCCAAAATTACTCAAGTAGGTCATCATCCCGCTAGGCAACAACCAAAGCTTATTCAACATGATTGTTTCTCCAAGCTTCTAATTCCAGCAAATGTTTTTATTAAACTGACAGAGTTCAAAACTCAATCAAACTAATGCACCTTTATAAGGGAGTTCAGAAAAGAAGAATCAAGAAAGTCACTCAGGTAGAAACAAATTTGCAGGAAGTCAACTGAATGGAGAAGATAAAGTTCTAACACGGGCTTGTTTGTCAGTTTCATCTGCTTCAAAAAAAATAACCATTTAAATAACTAGATTTTGGTTGATCTTTGGCAAGCACAAAGCTTCGTATATGCAGCTTGCTCTCAAAGCAAATGAACTCACAAATCTCACACAAACAAAGCATTATCCAAACATACTCTAAGATATTGGTAGTGATTTGTACATATAAAGTAAAAGACTACGAGTCATGACCATCGACATTCACTAGTTAGACTCATTTAGCCTTCGGCAAGTACTTTTTCACTGTTTGTAGAAACTAATGAAGACTGCTTCTATAGCAATGGTTATAAAAATAACCAAACAAGCCAACTATAGGTATAAATAGGGTCAAATGGTTGTGATGGACAAGACAAGTAACTAACAGGTGCCAAAATTAAGAGCAACAACTGGTCGTGCTTGGATAATGGTATAGGTTTGCCGAAAGGCGGATTGATGACAACAGATGGTGGATGTCATATGATCGTATATAGCAATGAGAAATGACGACCAGATAGAAACTACAGGACCTGGTAGGTCTAACTTGGTTTTATGCAAGTAAAATTTAGTTCTTAAAAACAAGTGATATTCTTAAATTAACCGAATCAGTTCTAGGAACTCAGTTTGTCTCTGTGAATAGGAAGCTCGATGCCCTTATAAGTGAAGATATGCGCTGGCTGCATTACCAAGAACATATTACTTACCCCATGACTACGTCTACAATGAGTAGGTGATTTACTAAAACAAATGGCACAGAATCAGATAATAGAACAGACAGCAACTTCACAAAGAACTGACTAAACAGCTTCGGTGAAACATACCTTCAAAGAACCAAGTGCATCAGCACCAGAGAAACAACTTTTAAGAGAATCTGTATTGGAAGGAAAGGAGATCCTGAAACCCCTGTTTTTGGGAGATGAGGAAATCTGCACATGAAACATTGAAAAAGGAACCTTTATGGTTTTCTTTGTATTATTACACAACTAACATAGAGCTTTTTCAAATTAATTAGTTAATGCTGGAGAACCAAAGTTAAAACATTGTTCTACTTATGTCATAGCTCGTATCATTAAATCATATATTGAGCCATCTAATCAAGTAGAATTCCTACAAAATTCGGACCCAATTAATGCGCCTTAAAACACTATTTTGGTCACTGGGCCACAGATACAAAAACCTAACTTCCTCCATGAACGTTGTGCATTGTATCATGGGGAAAAACTTTCAGTTTCCAACTTCCATGTACAATATAAATCCAATTTCTCCAGAAAGAAGAACAACAAATTATAGCATCACCAAGAATCTCGGAGTGTGGTCAACTGTGATTCACACCTCTGACTTCATCTTCCATTCAAAATTTTGACAATTTGAACTTAACAACAACCTCATCAATCCATCGGGCAGATTCCGCGAAAACCCCGCCCTGCAGAACGGGTCGGGTCATTCGGGTCCCTCTGCCATTGAGCGTTAGGACCCTCTACCTCGGTCACGCTCAGCAATTAGCAGCAAAAGATCAAATGGGTCGTCGAGCTCTGCCAAGCACCCAAATGAAGAACGGAATAGCTAACAGAGACTCATCGACGAAACGATCGTCATATGTCCAGTCACAACGGATGGACTTAGGAGAGGGAGGATTACCGCTAAAACTGAGGCCGGGGTCGCATTCCCCAGATGATTGCAACCGGAATTTCGCACTGCGCAAAGAAAGAGGATAAGAGACCGCAGCATACATAAGCACACGTACACACGTAAGGGGAGAGAGAGGGAGGGAGGGGGAGGGAGAGAGAGAATACTCACTCGGACGGTAATGGACTGAGCTGAGTGGAGGAGCGACCTCCATGAACGCAGGCTCTCCTTAGCGAATACCCTCTCTCTCTCTCTCTCTCTCTCTCTCTCTGTTAGCAGAAATGGCCACTGAAGTGGGCAGAGATCACGGTGAGCCTCACACAGGGCCGTGCCGTGCTCGACACCGAACCTGAAATGGAGTATCTGAAGCGTTCATCTGGCGTTGCTCGTCATCTTTTCTGCAGCGTGGCCGCTGCCCCACCTTCACTGCCGTGTGTGCGTGCGCGCTGTGGTGTGGATAAACGAAGAGTGATAAGAGACGACCGTGACGAGAACATCTCGTTATTTTCAGTAGGCTCACCGCGATAACATTCCGTTTCAATAGACCCTGCCTTTTCTCGTTTTTGTGAGAACGCAAAGCGAGGGCTCGCACAGCCCTTGCCGCCGCCCGTCAAGGGTCGGCCGAGGTTGCCGGGTGCCGGCCAATGGCCAATGACCCTGGCCGACCGTGGCGGGATCGCCCTCTTTTGCGTTCCTTGCTCTCTCTTTTTTTAATGTAGTTTATTTTTTTGGTCCAATTTAAATCATATTTAAATTAAAAAAATCAGATTTGAATCAAGGCGAGCCACCCCAGCACCATACAGGTCAGAGAAAATTATAGTAAAAGCCATGTGGCATTTTCCGTTATCCAAGGGACCAAGTTAGACAGAATTAATGCAAGAACTTAATGGCACCAATTGGACAAATTTTAAGATATGATTGCAATTTTTGAAATTTTAGAACTCAATTGTATTTTCATGATAAATTTTAAGATTTGTAATGCACTAATATCTTTGTATAATCGAATCCTAAATCATATACTTTTTAATTGTTTATTATTTTAGTTCCTCGTTCCGTCAAAATATGAGTAAAAATACTGACGTGACCATTAATTAATGTTAAATGTTGAAGGGCCACCTTATGTAATATGTTACATTGCAAATTAAAGATATAAAAAATGTGTTAAAAAATTTATGGAAATGAAAAATTAAATAAAGCAGAGGGTGTAAAACAAAAAAGAAAGAGAAAAACGGAGAGGTAGTTGCAGGCTGTAGATGAGGCGGCAGCGGCTCTGCCGTGGCCCGCGCACCGGCAAAGGAACATTTCACTTGCCGAGCTCTTCCGTTTAACATGTACGTATCGTCCTATCAACACCATTCCATGTTTTGACTAGACCAATAACGAGACCGTTGATTGAGTAAACAATAGATTTAAAGAAGCAAAACTATAATAGCACGTTTGGTGGCCCGAATAGAAGGCTAACATGAAAAAAATAATCTTGGCTGTTTCCACAACCATCATCGCACGCGCCATGTGCCTAAAACCACCGCCGCGACTCTCGAGCAACCATAGTCTCGGCGGTCATGGATCCCGGAGGATACAAGTTAACAAGTTGCCTGTTATGCATCAGTCAGGGTTAAAACACGAATTCATGCAATTACTTCAGCAACAGCAAGAGAGCATGCAGAACGGGGACTCATGCTGTTAAATTAGGAGACTAATGGAACAATTCAAGACTGAATACAAATTAATAGCCGCAAGCGACTGATCACCACCCAGAAAATGTCGGACCACACAAACTACCACCAAAAGCGAAGGACAGGGCACACGCGTCAAACATGTCTGAACAAAGAGGAAAGACGACAAGCGCAGATTCTCATGCAAGAAGGGTCTTGACGATCGATTTGACATTGAGTTTCTTCAAGTCCGTGTATGACTGTCCGCAACCCACGAACATGACCGGTGCTCCGGACACATAGACCATCGACAGTGCAGCTCCAACCTTTATCAAGAGTAAGTACGCAACACATATAAGAAAATGGTAAGAGAATGGATACAAGTTCATTAAAGTATCTGAATGCACCCAATGGAGTTGAGTTATTCTTTACCTTATCATCAATAGTATCAAATTTTGTGAGCAGGATTCCATCAATTAATCTGGGACTAGGAGAAGTCGACAGGTCGGCCAATTTCTGAAAAACGGAGGCAAGAGGATTCAATGCCGATCAACAAGATGTAGAATACTACTCTTCTGACATAATATGATCTACCAATTCATGAAACAAGGAAACAACCTAAAAGCTCAACTAAACTGTTGATTTGCCTTTAAAGTGATAGCTGTTTAGCCTAGGTCCTACAGTCATATCCATGTCAACACAGTGAGTATCCATAGTTAGACTAATGGGATAGTCCTTCCTCGTCATACTTCACTCATTCCATATGGCATTCAATGAGAACCATCAAAGCTTCTATAATGAACCCTACCTGATTAAATTTCGAGAGTTGATCAACAGCATCATTCCCAACCAATGCTTCACCCACGAACAAAACCAGATCTGGATTGTTGAGGTTTACAAGTTTTGAGAGAGCTCTCATTAGTGGCTCATTGTCCTGTAAATATCAAAGACATTATTAATCATCAGTGGCTCAGAAAAGTAAGATACACCATCGAATGAATGACATAGTAAATACAAGGTCCTCTACATCATCTGGTAGGGAAAAACATCAGTCAGCTATGGCAAACAAATCGTTATTTGTCACCTAGTATTTTATTGGACAAATGATGGGTAGCAATTTTATTCTATATGCATTTCCAGTACATTCCTGAACAGCTTCTGTCCTCTTTATCTTATCCAATCAATTAGATATTTGATACTTTGACATGACAGAATAACTGCTATGGTTCTTCCCCGTCTTTCACTCAAATAAAAAACTCCTTCCTCTACACTGCTAATCAGCAATGCTTGTTTGGGACCTAAAAAGCTACACAAGCACTCCCCGACAGAGGAAAAAAAAACCATTTATAGATGGAGAAAGAAGGAAGGAAGCAATGCTGCGATCCAGAATGGATAAGTGCTGACAACAATGAATTTGGGCTTTTTTGCGTGACAGTTCACTTTTAGTCCATTTTGGAAAATTTCTTCAGAGATTTTTCTTTGGTGAGAAGTCTGGCGTGACTGGCAACTTGTGCACTCCTAAACCCCAGTATGGACCAGCAATAAGGGAGAATGTGACAGGGAAGAACATTAAACTTAACGTCCACCAACAGTCTAGGTAATATCAATCGACCTTTTCCAAATTTATCAGCAATTATTACCTGCATTCGACCAGCAGTATCTACAAGAACAACATCAGAACCATTGCGGGCAGCTTCTTGAATTGCTTCTTTTGCAACAATTGCAGGATCTTTCTCGTATCCTTTCTCAAATATTGGGATCTAAAGCAACAGAATGATAAGACAATCACAGACCTTAGTCAAATTAATTTGTCCACAGAGAATGATAATGCACTTTGTTCCGGAAGCACAGAACTATATAATCAAGTACCTGGAGTCTACGAGCATGAGTGCGCAGCTGTTCAACAGCTCCAGATCGAAATGTATCGCATGCAGCCATCATGACACTAACTTTATGCTGCAGGAGCCAGTAGGCAACCTGCATATTCATTTCAGAGAAGGGCAATCAATTTACTATGCCACCACTTAATACGTGAAAGATGTAACAAATAGAAATTAGCTTAACCTTCGCTAGATTAGTAGATTTTCCAACACCATTAACACCAACAAAGACGACAACATAAGGCTTATTTTGCTCTTTTGCTGCATGGACATCCCTCAATATGTCAATTGAGCGCCTGGGAGTTAAAATACGAACAAGAGCTTCCTCCATTGCTGCCTGTAGCCATTATTTTGCAAGAACTAAGCATCTTCCGGTAAAACAACTTGACCTTCTATTGAATAGCAAGAGACCACATAAATGAAAACATGCAGTAAATGTTGAGAGATTGAGAGATGATCGTGACCTGCACTGTAGAAGAAACCCTGGTGAATGAGGCCAGTTTTTTCCCTTCAAGACTGGCCGACACAGACTCACATAACTTCTCCGCAATCTCCTCGGCCTGTAAATGTCCCAGCATGAATAACTCAACAAGAATAACACAGCTTTTGTCAACAGAAAGTAAGACATGTGACTAATCAAACGAAAAATGCATACCACATTCTTGGTCATGAGCCTGTCTTTGAGAGCTTTCAGAGCTGGTTCCAGATCAGCCTTATCCAGATTAGCCTTTCCTGCAATACTGGAGTAGAATGTCCGTGATCAATGACAGTAACATCTAACTTGTCAAAATAGAAAGAGAGCATGATAGAAACAAGTCTGAAACAGATTCAGAAGAAAGTCTGACTCCACCCTCGAGGATCAACATTATGCCACCAAAACAAAGTTTCAAAACAAGAATCCTGCGGTATTCTAGGAAGGACTGTAAGACCTAGTTATTGACAGTTTTCCACATTCCCTTTCATTAAACGGATTTAGTTAATTAATTCAAAAGTGATGACCTTGCACCTTGAGAAGCCATAAGAAAGCGTAAAGTAGGCCAAATTACACTTATGAAACGAACATCCTGAAAATAATTAAGGTAGGGCAAAAAGGAAGAACGAATGTTTCGGTAGACAGGTTGATTGATAGTAGGGAGGAACTAGGAGCTTAGAAATAACAACCTGACTGACGGATGGCTTGATTAAGCAGAACTGATCTACATCGAGGAGTGGCTTATAGTCAATTTCAATATGTTCCATACTATAATGCAAGGACAAACGAGTATCCCGATGTTAAACTTTTAATGATATTAACCGGCCAAAACAAACAACACAGATTAGTCATGACAACATATGTTCAAACCAACCGTCCTCAGAGAGTTTTACAAAGTATGCAGTATCATGTATCCAGACAGATTATATTGAGGAAAAGAAAGCACAGTAAGTAAGCAGGTATCCCATGGGAAAGTGGTTGAAAATGCCCAAGGAGGATACAATAGTTTCATGGTTTCGACCTTTTGAGTCAGCCATCTCTTTCAATGAAGATATCCTCGAAAGAATCGGGAAAGAAGCTCACGAAAAGATTCACAGGTAGGAACATAGCAAGGAAACATCAGGTAAAGATTATGTCACGGAACGTACCTCTGAAACATGGATGAAAACCATCCTTTCTTCTTGGCATCAAGCTTGCTCTCCTTTTCCACCTCCTCATCATCTTCAGATTCACTTTCACTGCTCACAACCTCCTCAATGTCCATCATGCTTTCACCATGCACCTCTGCCACATCATGTACATTGTCATTCCCATTCCCATTCCCATTCCCATTCCCATCCACAGTTTGTGTGAAGTCCAACTTCGTCGGGGGAGGTTTATCGTCCCAAACTCTATTTTTCTTTGTTATCTTTTTCTTGGTCTCCACCTTGGGAACCTTGTTATCAACAGTGTCAGTTTTCTTTCCACCTTTAGACCTAAGCTTCTGAAGTTTATTTACATCGAAAGCTCCATTGTTGGAGCTCGTGTTCTCTTTTCCCTTGACAACAGCATTCATTTTGGAATCTTTAACTCCGACATGATTGCCGTTGGCATATCCATTCTCCATTTTACGCCCTTCGCCATCGCCGTCCCCCCCATCGTTCGCCAAGCCACCTTCGCTCCTGTTCTTGTTTCCTCCGTCATATCCACCCTTTTGCCCATACCCTTGCCTTTTGCCATTACTCGCAGGCTTACCCACCGGCTTCGATTTCTTCAATTCCTCGGCTCGAGCCTCGGCCTCCATCTTCAGCTGCTTAAACGTCCCATCGAATTCACGGTACACGGTCCTCTTCGGATCGTACATCTCCGCAAACTCGCGCCTCACCATGGCGAGCAGATCGTCCACGTACAGCAAATGGAGGATCCGCTGATAAACGGCCACGAACACGAGCCCGAGGTCGTTGTGGAAGGTCCACTTGAGCGTGTAGGCCGCGCCGGGCGCGTCGTAATTGAACGACGCCGCGCCTGAGCGTTCCTCCAGCAGGCAGGACCTGATGAGGGTGTCGATGGGCGATCCCTTGAGGGCATTCCCGATCTCCTTGCACGTCCAGAGGATCAGCCCTCCCCTCGTGAATATCAACAGCTGCTCCAACATCCTTAACAAAAATCACCACCCCGCCGCCGCCGCCGCCACCTGCAACCAACCGGACAAAATCGAAAGACGCAATTACCACCACAAACTCCCCGATCAAACCAGAAAACGAGCAAGGATCGAACGCTGCTCGCGATTCCGCACGCGGAAATCGCGTCGCGATCGATCGACCGACTGAAACCCTAGAGATTCGAGATCACGAGGAAGACGGAATCGCAGAGATCGATGAAGGGATCGAATCGGAACCGGATCTGCAGAGGATCGAGGGAGCGAAGAACTGACCTGATGTGATGATGATCGGACCTCGAGCGCGAGCGAGAAAGAGAGAAAAAACACGCGACTCGCGAAGAAAACTGAAGAGAGAAAAAAAAATTGAAAAAAACGAAATTCGAAATCTGGGAATGTGGGAACTGTGCTCGGGGGGGGCCTTTATATGTGCCGCTTTCCGCGTCTCTGTCTATTTTTAGTTTCTTATTTTTTTTTAAATTGTTTTTTTTTTCTTTTTTTTTTGTCGGAAACTGTTCTTGAGGGGGAGGGAGGGGAGGGGGTGGTCAACGTTTGACCGGGCGAGAATCGATCAGGGGGCCCGCGGTCAACGTGGGTTGGCTCCCGGCCGCCAGGTGCGAGAAATGGCAACCATTTTTTTTTTCTCTTCTTTTTGCCCTTTTTGGACAAATTTGATTGATATGAAATTATTAACTCGGTTAAAAAAGTATATGTCTCCCTATCTATTAATCGGAAAACAAAAAAAAAAAGGTAACGTGAAAATCCGACTGATTATTTATAGGGAAACAAGAAGCTAATAGTGACGTGACATTTCAAAGGCGAACGATAACTTTTCTATCGCTGATTTTTTTCCGACCGAACTACTTAGCTTGTTGAATCGGTTTTCTTGGGGAAGTTAGGTCTCGGGACTCTCGCTCAGTAACATTTCCAAATCCCAATAAGTGAGATTCCTTGGATATGAAGATGAAAAAGGCACTAAATATGATCGCTTAGATTTGCTTCCGTTAAATAAAAGGGGATGATAGATCTCATCATACTAGATTTGGCCATTGTCTAGATTGAGCAGTATCCATGTGCATTTAAAAGTTGTAGAATCCTTTTTATCGTAGGCATATTATCACTTTTGATTTGTTTCCTTATATAAACTAGAAGGATAGGGATCCACTTTCCATTGCCCATCTTTTACAAACCGAAATTTGTGAACCCTTTGGAAATAGGATTAATACCACGAAATATCCTAAACTTGTAAACCTGTGATAAATTTATCATCAGTTAATTTTCATTATATTTTACCATCAAATTGTCGAGTTAGATGACATGTAGCAGTTGACGGGTGTACCAATTTGAGGTTTTACCTTCTGTTTATCACAGATATACTAGTTTATGATTTTTCGTGATATTAATTCAATCTAATGGAAATTAACAAAAGGTAAATATATCACAAATGTATCAATCTGAGATTTTTGATAATCAAAATATTAATTTAAAATAAATTTACCACAAATATACCAATTCCATATTTTTCATGATATTAACCCTTAGAAATTATCATAATCATTTTGGTAAGGACAGAACGAATAGCTCTTCCACTCATTTTCATAACAACTCCTTTGAATTATGTTAACGATAGCCATTGACTAGGTTAGATTCACACGTTTAATGATTGGCGTTTGGCTCGTGTTTTTCCGAATTGAAATTTATTGATTTTCCGGTGATTGAAGAACGGAATATATCCCACTCCGGCTCTCAAGCCAGAAGTAGTTTGCATTCTTCGGAGTCATTGACCCAAGATCAAAAACGAAATCAGCAGCATTCTTCAAACCGATTGTTTCGTCCAGACACTAATAGCCATGAGACATGGAACAAGTTTATCGGTGCAACGGTGGGTGTCATGAATTCGCTAATTCCCTTCTTCAATGAAACCGCGACCGGCGTTCGAACGGTTACAAAAATCTACGGCTACAGTACAAATCGGAACAACATGCCTTGACTGTATACAAAATTGGATCTCGACTCAGTAGCCACTCCCCGGCAGGCGAGAATCGCTATCATGGCTTGAAACCCTCGCTCATGCCCGGCGGCATTCCCAAACTCTGGGCAAGATCACTCATTCTCTCCTTCATGGCCTGAGAAAGATGCGTAGACAATTCAGCTCAGAAAAATGACGATATGACCTCCCATGTGAACGCATATGAATTTCGCTCTTCTCACCTGTACACTCTTCTGGTGTGCATCTTTGTAAGCCTCGTTGACTAACTCCGACAGCTTCTGCATTCGAAAATGTCGCGCGTGTAAGCAAATATAATTTTCCATCAACTTTTTTCACGTAGCAGAAGCTGGACAGGTTCAAGTTGCATACGTATCTTTCCACAAGGTAATCTGGCTTTTACTAGCATCAAACTAAATCCGTTATGGCATGATCTAAATTTCATCAGAGTATTCAAGCAGATGCACAGACAAACAGCACCCGAAGATAGGATGTATCTTTCTTCATAAGGGTATTCGCTTTGGCCAAACATACACATGCGCATGCATGCACCAGGAGGTTCCATATTTATAGCGAAATAACACTTTGCCAAGAAAATTTCTCCATCACTAGAGTAATGATAGTAACAAAAACGCCAGGCAGACAAGCGAATATTCATCATCTTAATCTCATCCCCCTTGTATCCCAAACCTCCTAACCAGAGCATAAGGATCGATATAAGGTCAAATATAAAATACACATGGCATACAAGAAATCTAAGGCAGTTTCTGCCATACTGGTGAATTGGCCTATAGTTGCATCAGTTCAACTCGAAAGAATTTCGACCGAAAAAAAAAAAAACGAAAAAAACTCGAAAGAAGGCCTTTGACCAAAAAAGAAAGTCCAAAGAAGGTCCAAAGCCCAGCAAGCAGCACAGAATCTCTATAGTAAATAAACCTCTACTCTAGCCATAGGCCCCGGCATTTCTAAAAGCAGCAAGCTGATGCCTCGGATTAAAGGTGGAAGTTAAAGGATTGAAGTTACAAGAGTTAGAAACAACTGCATGCAAGGAAATGAAGTGGGAGGCCATAAAGCATGGGGGATAAGAGCTACAACCACCAACATCGTTTAGGAAGGTAAACTTCCATAATGTCCATGCACAAGCAACTCATGTAAGAGACAAGACCACCCAAGTTTTGCATGGCTACAGTTTCCTTCCAGGGAAGATTTCTCAGCAGATGATCCATTCAATCAGCTGTGAAGGGAAGTATTATGTAGGCCATACTAGTGTGCGTCCACGGCATGGGAGAACATGGTTATAAGATACACTATTATCCTAGAAACACAAAAAACGCCAGCATGCTCATCATGCAAAACAATTCTTAGGAAAGTAAAGTGCCTTAACACCAAATAACTCCAGAGAACTGCACGAGTAGATAGAAAAATTTCGACCTGTTTTACTATGTGAGCTATGAAATGGAAAATTTAACCATGGGACATGGTAAAATAGTTTTGCATAGGCATATGAGATGACAGAAATTGAAAGAAAAAGAGCTACCAGAAAACAAGATGGCAGAAACAATCTGGCCAATAGTTCGGGACTTGATAGTACATTAGGAATTTTTTCCCAACTGATACAAACCATAGCCACATTCTTGAAGTAATGATGAGATAATGCAAAATGGAAAGGAGAGTGAATTTACTAGAATACAAACTAATCAAGATTAAAATAAAATCCTGTGGCTTCATCATTGAATCACCATCCAAGATCCATGTCTAACAAAATATGAATTCTACTAAGAAGAATATTTTCTGCCTAAGTGGAGCCTGTTTGTAGGACATGAAAGGATAGATGACAAATCAATACCGAAAGATAGATGTAGAAGCAAATTTATCTGGTATTAATCAGAAAAGAGGTGAACAAAATGACATCGTCATCTCCAGGAAGAGGTGGAATGAATCACAAAAGAATCTGGACTGAAAGTCTGAGACTCTGAAGAGAAATTTGAGTTTACCCATGCTTAAGTAGATAAAGGAGGAACTCGCGTTGTGACACTTCCAACATGATGGGATTAGAAGAGGTGGGACTTGTTTACATTTGATTCCTTATCAAAATACAAGAATTCTTGTATCGACCAGAAAATGGGGTCGCAGAAAAAAGTCACAATTGGCAGAGCAGATGGTAGTGATAGACAATTGCCATTCTTGACCATCTACATAATTATCTAGAAAGGGAACCACGGAGACTTCATATAAATTCCTGAATACAGAATCTTGCCTAAGCAGTTCTTCAAATCTAACTATACGATAAGGATGGAAACCCAGGCAGAGTAGCTCTTGAAAAAGGAATAACTAACAAGACCCTATGGAAGCAGCCATTATATAACAAACAAGACCTCAACCTTCGCAAACTGCACATAATTCAGCCTATAAGTACTTTACCTACATAGAAAGTCTAATCAGAAATTTGCAACTCAATTAGACTAAGAGCAACCAAGTTGAAATGGCTAGTGCAATTTTCACAAAATCTTGGAGCTTGATATAGACTTAAAAAGTGAAACTAATGAATACCAAAATCCAATAGGATCATTTGAGAAAAAATATCCTTACAAAACACATTCACCAATCTATTAAGCGAGTATCACAGCAACACAAATTGAACAGTAGCGGCAGAACATTTTGCACTCACCTCAGCTCCTAATTCCATTGCGGCCTCAGTAATCTCGATGCGCACGGGTTGCTGGTTTCCAGATAAAGTAGCCTGTCGAAAATTAATTTCATTTCATTGTTCTTTTGTTGAGCCCTTTATATATGTCAGAGAATGGAAAGCTTCAGCAATTTGAAGAACAACATGAACGAACTGAAAGAGACAAAGAATCCATACATGACCTTGCATAAAATTAAAAGAAACCAATATATTAGGCTTGCTTGAGGAATTTTCAAATAGAGTTTCAATGCTGTAGTAACAACATTACAAAATACTGTAATCCAACAACATCATCAACAATACAAGTCACAATTAGGCAAAACAAATATTACTATGAAACTCGTTACTAATGGAGCAATGTCCACCGACGAATTCAAAATCTTCCCGCTTTTAGTTTGTTTCCTTATTTGCCATCAGAAATCAGAAGTAACCCCAGCTGGCACTGTGGATTTCTTGTCCCAGTTTTCATTTCTTCTTATTTCGGAAAAGTCAGAAAAACTTTTCTCTACACTCACACAATTGCAAGTTCTAATTTCGAAACCAAAAAATATTCTGTCTTCACTTTCCCAGCGATATCAGATTATGATGACCACCCTGAAATTTTTTTTGTCATGGACAGAGCAAATTACATGTACAAAAAATCAATACAGAACAGCCAAACCACACAAGGCATCCATAGCACCTCAACAATTTCACTGGTAAGGCAATGCATTTGTACCCAGCAACAATGTATTTCACAATATTGCATATTTTACTGTCTCTACCAAAAGCGCCTTTCGCCAATTAACTGTCTCTACCAAGGCATCCATAGCACCTCAACAATTTCACTGGTAAGGCAATGCATTTGTACCCAGTAACAATGTATTTCACACTATTGCATATTTTACTGTCTCTACCAAAAGCGCCTTTCACCAATTAACTGCAATTTTCTTAACCAATAGTTTCATCCCTAGAAAGGGGGATTAATCTTCACCTTGAACTAGACAACCCATTCATTCATCCATTCTTTCTTTCTTTCTTAGCTCTTACTCTTTTCCTCTCGTATGACTTCAACGCCATATCTCTGCCTCTCTACTCCACCACCTTGATCAGGTATTCACTAAACTTCCCATGTCTTTTTTCTATATTAAGTCTGGTTATAATGTAGTAGTCACTAGTCAGGTCCATATGACAAAATCTTAGTTAAGACCTCAAGACATCCAGGAATCCAGATTACTAATGTTGCGAGAATTTCATCATCTGGGAAATCCTTTTGTTGAATTCTGCTTGAGATTTTTGTGTGCATTTAGTAAGCAAATAATTTACTGATAAGCACAGATGTATGCTCATGGCATGTGCCTTCCTGCTCTCTTGGAGCATGGTAATACAGACCATGCATGGCCTTTGTTGGCCCTACATGTGTATACGACAGCTTCATCTAAGATAGGCATATGCTAACACAGGACATCATAAAACCATGTGAGGAAAACAGTAGTACCTTTATTAATTCACCTTCACAGTAACCATCAAACTCCGCTCTGTATATCAGAATGGACAAATATCAAGGAGATTATAAGTTAAGACTACATGAAGGAAAAGCAAGACATCAAAGGTAATAAAATAATATAAGACACCATAAAGAGGAAATAACATAAAACCTTACGCTGCAAGTTCCTTCTGCACTCGCACAGCCTCAACTTGGACAACCATTTGTGCCTTTTTCACTGTCTCATACAAATTTTGCATATTCCCGAGAATCCCTGCCTAAAAATTGCAGGAATGTGGTCATAAATTTTCACAAAAACTACACGATATATAGATGGAAAGTAAAGAATGAATCAGCATCAATAAGCTCCGGATATATTGCACAAGCATAATGACCCTCACATTCCTACACTCAAAAACTGGCTCACTGAACCGAGCCTTCTAATCCGCCTATTGTTCTAAGCTGCTTAAACTTACTCAAATGTAGTCCACCTACTTGTAGTGAGCTTAACTTAATCAACTTTGACAGCAGAAAAAATCTCATATCCAAGGAAAATTTCATAGATTATATTAAGATGCAGTAAAGTTGAACAAAACTACAATCAGAGACCTACAATGTCCAATGCACTGGATAAGAACATCAATGATATTTCAAACTAGTTGGCAAGATAACTCAAAATGTGGTCAAAGCAACTCTGCCAAAACCATATCCATGACTGTACTAATACAAGCATATATAAGGACAGTCCTTTAAACAAGATAGTGGAAAACCTTCGAAGGAGCATCATCACTGTTATCCTTCTTTCCTCCAAATAGGCCATGAACACGAAGAGTTCTATAACCTCTGTTGACTCTTTTATGACCAGACCAGAGCAAAATTTGCCTGCCACTACCAACAATATTCACACTTGAGTTGAGATTACCTGAAAAGCAGCAGGAGGGCCATATAAATAAACAGCTGATGCGATGAAGGAAAGCGGACAACATCAATGGACAACAGCACACTCCAAACGTCGGAGAGTGAGCAGAAGCAGAAAGCAATAAAATATCTACTCTCCAAATTACTTAAGCTTATTCTTCCAGCAAATTCTATTATCACATTTGCAGCGAACTTATAGAGAAATCCATTTGCATTAAGCTCTAGAAATACCAAATTAAGCAACAATACAATAAAGAGGTGGATACTGAATAGACTATGAGTATATTGTAAATTAACAGGTGTCAATTCGCTCAAACAAATAAAGAATGGGAAAGTTTTGAGGTTAAGACTAATTAGAGAAATACATTTTATCTGCCAATTCTACAGAGGGAAACTAATAATCAGTGGATCAACAATATGAGCATAAATACAGAATTGATCAATGGAAAAGTTGTTTCCATTTTACGCAATTTCTGATTTGATACTAGTTTAATAGGAAAGAAAAAGTAACCTCAGAACATGAACAAAAGCCATGCACACTTGACATTATTTAATTCAAACATTTCCAATTCAATGGTAACAACTTGGCCAAGGCGTTCACTTATTCGGTACCCTCTACCCTATATCTCTCTTAATTACATTTTCTGTACTGGAACTTCAAGCTGAAACCCATGCATCTTCCGATCCTGATCACAAGAGCACTTCAGCAAATGCGACAGCAGAAAACTGGAAGAGTTAAACAATAACTCGGGAAAATAGTAAATAGAAAAACCATTTCAACTGACCCTCCCAGCGATCTTTCATCCTGACTCCCGCCGATACTTAACCAAATACCTAACCAAATTGAAAGATGAACCTCAAACACTAATCTATTTTGTAATCTCTCTCTCTTTCTCACACACAAGCATGCAACCAAGAGGAGCAGAACCTGACTTGCAGACCCAACTTTATGAAAGATGAAACCTTAATCACTTCCCCACTCCATTCTACTTCATTATCCTCTCTCTCTCTCTCTCTCTCTCTCTCTCTCTCTCTCTCTCACAGAGACACACACACACACACGTGCGCTTATAATTGCAGGGCTGCGAACAGCAAAAAGCAAAATGCTCTGGTCACACAGTGCGTTTGTTCTGATATGAAGTAGGTCCATCACCAACTGGCTGTAGATGCATAACAATTAAGCATATGCTCATGCCACAAGTCATGTTATTTCTTTCTCATTAAAATAGCAGAACCTAGTGATCTCACAACTTTGCATGAATACGCAGGGCATCTCTTGCCCACTTTAAATTCAACTCAGCCCTCTAGCTTCTTCCCTGACCAATACAACTACCCGTTTCACATCCCAACAAAGTATGAAATTCCGTTTGCTCACTGTAAATTGAGCATTGCATCGACATGACAAACGCTACAAAATACAGGAAAAGACACTGATATCGCAACTCTACGGAGATAAGATCACATGCAGATGCAACACTCGTAGCAAACTTTTTTTCAATTCTAGAACGCTACATCAAACACTCACGGTCATACGGGCCTCAACCATCAAGACCCACTCCCCCAACAAGCAGACAGCGTCACAGAGGAACCAAAACTGATCAGGCATTACAGCTAGTGCTGAATTGCAAACAGAAAAGGAGACAATAACCACCACATGCTCTTAACAGCACCGAGTTCCGATCAATCGTGCAGCTCACGAAAGCTGAAAAGACCCCCCACCCAACGAATTGCGGTCCAAAACCCCATTCCTCACTTCGAATATCACAAACGGTCGCCAAATCTGATCGAACCAAAGAGAGAGCCGCAGCTCTTCCTCGCCAGACCAAACGTAATTCGACTCCCTCCCCAAGTAAAACCGCAATGAGCACGAGAGCGAGAGCGAGAGCGAGAGAGCGAGAGAGAGTTACGGAGAGAGACTGATGACGAAGGAGCACGGTCGTGGGGCGAGCACAGCTTCGGCAAATGACGAGCCAGAGACATCGAAGAAGAAGACGCAGCCATTTCAGCTTGCGCACCGAGAGAGAGAAGACGAGAGGGAGAGAGAGGGACGGGGCAAAGATAAAGGTGGGTTGTACTGTACATTCGAGGTTGCAAGCGGCGCTCCGTGACAGACCAATCGCGTCGCGCCACGGAATCCGAAAAGGGTCAAAGAGATAACGGGGGTATTTTTCGCTCCGTAAACCGATAGGGACTGAAGAGGAAAGGGAAGATTAGAGAGAGAGAGATCGATCCCCAGCCCTTCAGTTTTGCCAATGGCGAACTGCCACCTCAGCTTGCCATCAGATATTTTCACTTCGATGATGGATTTGGAATATCCGAGTAAAAAAGCGCGTGGGATGTGTAAATTGATATTCCGTCGATCTAGACATGGCCACGGGCCGGTTTCGACCCGGAACCGGCCCGGGTCAAACCCGGGACCGGCCCATTGATCGGGCCCGCAGTTTGGAATCGGAACTGGCCCGGAACCGCTGGTTCCGGGCTCGATTCCAAAACAAAAAACTGCAAATAAGTGGAGAAATTCTTTTTTTCCCTAAATTTGATTACAATGTATATTTTGATTACATTTTATATTGAATAATTCATTATTTCATAATTTGATAATTCATTATTTTTGTATTTCATAATTTATTTTTTAAATTTTTACCGTCCGGTTCCGAATCGGGCCGGAACCGGAACCGGCCCGGAACCGAAACCGACAAGGGCGGTTCTGGTTCTAGTTCATACATGGCCACGAACCGAAATCGCCGGTTCCGAACCGTGGCCATGTCTACGTCGATCCTCTCTAGCTACACGAAAGCGTGTGGCATGTGCGTTTGTTTCACGGAAAATGTACCGTTTCTGAAAAATATTTTCCGAAAAATAATTTTTCAGGAAAATAAGTTGATTTTTCAGTGTTTGGCTAAAATATAAAAAGTATTTGGAAAGTATTTTCAACTGTTTAGTAAGGAAAATCTAATGGTGAAAATTATCAAAATTTTTTATATTTTTAAAATTATTGAAAATTATTTGTTATTTTTAAGTTATTTTTATTAAAAAAAGAAAATATATGAATGTTTTCCTTCTTAGAAAGAAAATAAAATTAAAAAAATAAACAAAAGAAAATAAAAAAAATATTAACAAATTCAAGATGAGCAATTTCAGAAAGTGTTTTCACCTTCTTAAACAAGGGAATTCACTTTCCTAAAAATAAAACATGATATTTGTGTTAACCGGAAAGTATTTTCCGTTGATCAAATCATTTTCGGAGAATCAAACGGATGAAAGTCCAGAAAACACTTTCCGGAAAAACACTTTCACCAAAACAAACACACCCTAAGACTGGTCTTCAAATAAGTGGAGTGGATAAAAGATGCGGATATCATATATATTTTCGGGCAACCATATTTGTAATTAATTAATTTATATAGAATGGTGTTTATAACTTGTAACCCATCGTCAATAAAAAAAAAAAATAGCTGCGTTTTAGCACAATATTGAAAAAGAATTTTGGGACTCCCAAATCCCTCAAGCCAAATTCACAGCAGATGGTAAATGTTTTATTTACCACTTTAAATTGAGATAATTGCCTAACCGGCATTCGCAAACATCAAAAGCCCAAAGCAAGTCCTCCCGTATTTTGGTCCGGCATTTTCGGAAAGCCATCTCCAAGAATTGATTAATTCTTTCGGTCGCCTGAAAATTTTATATTTTCCTCATTTACCACCTTAATTTTCATTCCTCGTGTATCATTTTTCCTCCTTTCTCAATCATATCAGGAAAGTTCAGGGGTCTAATTGTTAAATACCGAAATTTTAGGGCGCATTCTGCAATTAATCCTCCACATCCTCCGGCCTCCACCGGTTTACCGTCCATTTCCCTCTCTCTCCGCACTTCACCGTCGTCGTTCCTCGATCTCCGATGGACGCCCCCGAGCAACCGCCGCCGCCGCCGCCGGTCGCCGATCCCTCCGCCGCCTCGGGGCCGAACTCGGACTGGGCCGAGTTGACCCACGAGTGCCTGATCAACGTCCTCTCCCGCCTCACCTCGGAGCAGCTGTGGACGGGGCCCATGCTCGTCTGCAAGTCGTGGCTCCGCGCCTGCGCCGACCCCTCCCTCCACTCGGCCTTCGACCTCGAGGCCCGCTTCGGGTCGTCCCGGGAGTCGATCCGCTGGTGGTCGCCGGAGTTCGAGCGGAGGGTCGACGCCATGCTCCGATCGGTCGTCGGCTGGAGCGGCGGGGGCCTCGCCGCGATCCGCGCTCGCCATTGCTCCGATCGCGCCCTCGACTTGGTCGCCGAGAGGTTCGCCCGATTCGATCGCGTCTTTTCGTGTTTGCGGCGTTAAAGTTATCATTTTTATCGCTTGAAACGGAGATGAATCGGGACATGCTTATGTTTAGACAAGGTAGCATTTGTGCGATGCTTCTCTTCCGTGCCTAAGAGGATGAAGAACTCGCTGTAGAAGTGTACATGGAATTGCAGTAGGGACAGAGTCGAATTTGCCGTTGCTTTGTCTTTGTTCAGGCGTGGACATCTTTCTTTGAATGGTCTGAAATCTCATTCTGGCTGGCTGTCGCGACATTGAATGTGGTGTCGATCGAATGGGAATGGAATAGAAAGTAGTATTCTCTCTGTTTGTGGTGAAAATTAGACATCAGACGAGGAAGTTTACAACCTCACAACATTGCAATTATCCTGTCCGGTCGACTGGTTCTTTTTGTTGGATGTTTTGTTTTGCTGTATGCTAATGCATTGCGGCGATCGGCTTTGAGAAGATACTTTTGTTTAGCTAGAGTCTTGTTGACACTGTGAATTATCTGCCGATTATCGAGGAATTGCCCATGAATTTGCAATTTTCAGGTGCCCGAGTCTCCAGGTTCTTTCGATCAAGAGCTGCCAAAATGTCACCGATGCGTCGATGGCCAGGATAGCGTCCCGTTGCACCAACCTCAGGGAACTCGATATCAGCTATTGCTATGAGGTGTCTCATGAATCTTTGGTTCTGATTGGGAGGAGCTGTCCCAATCTTAAAGTTCTGAAGAGAAACCTGATGAACTGGTTAGATCCTTCCCAACATGAGGGTGTAGTCCCCGAAGGGTATTTGAATGCTTGCCCACAAGATGGAGATTCAGAAGCTGCGGCTATAGGCAAGTTCATGCCTCGCCTGGAGCACCTTGAGATACGTTTTTCCAAGTTAACCGCGAGAGGTCTTTCGTCCATTTGTGACGGTTGTCTTGACCTTGTGCACTTGGACCTGTCAGGGTGTGCAAACTTGACTAGTCGTGACATCGTGAATGCGACGTCCAATTTGAAGAATCTGAAGCAGATAAGTAAGCCAAATTTCTACATCCCCCGGTCGGTTTTCCATACGGAGAGGTATGGCCATTGGAGGTTGTACGATGAGCGATTCCAGACGGATATTTTCCGAATCTGATCAGGCAAACCAGAAGAGGTTCTCCAGTTTAAGCTAGCCAGAATCTGAATGACTTTGCACAGCATCTGGTTCGTGATGGTCTACAGTGTTTTTTACTTTTTCGCCTACACAACTTCATCTTTGGTATTTATTTCAGTTTCACTTTTGATATACTTGTCTGTCTATATATTGGGCACTTTTGTATCCTTCCCTTGCTTGTTCATATGAATCACAGCTGAATCATCTATTTCTTGCTATTCTGACTTGGTTTTCGGTAAGTTTGTGTTGTGGATTGCTCTTTGGCTTCTAAGCTTCTTGTGAAATGCAACTCTTTTCCACCTTCATCTTGTCCCAAACCCGTCCCATTAACTTGGGATTTGGGAGTGATGGAACTGGTGCATGCAATAATTCTTCGAAGCTGAGTTTTGTAGGAGCGCAGAAAGGTATCGAGGTAGGTAAATGAAGATGACAACCATGCACGCATGTTTGTTCGAATCGATTCAATTAGTCTACCTAGCAAAAGAATTCAATGAGTATATTTACCAAGAAATATTCAATTATTATATGAACATAACTATTTGAAAACAACTTGATATTGATTCCAGAAATATTTAACGAGAATCCCAAATTAGTACAGAGAAACGACAGATCCAACGCTACTGGAAATATCTCTTGTAGCCACTACATTTTGGTCCCTTTTATTTTGTCTCGAAGAACGTTATGTAATTCAGAACAATAATAAGCAGATGAAAAGAGAGTAAAAGTGTAACATAATGCAGCAAAACATTGGAATTGATGATGGTCGAGGACGTTGCTTCCTTGTAATTCCGACTCGAATGCATGCGCAATCTCCTTCTTCAGGTGAACGACCGAACTTCCCGAGCAGAAGGACTTAGGCAGTGCTAAACCAAGGAAAAGAGAGGAACAAATAATAGAACCAAGCCACGGGCTGAGATCTGACAGCAGAGGACGACATCGCCGTGACACTGTAAGAATTATCATCACCATGTTGAGCCAGGAACAGCGTCAGAAAGACACACAGGATCATCAATTCTGCTTCTTTTCTCTTATGCTGGTCTTTTTGTCCAACTCTTTTTGCCCGCATAATTTGCGTAACCGAGAGCCAAGCTCCCGCGAAATTGGAACAGCAGCAGAAGAACTGCAGAGGAAAGAGCAAGCGCAAGCTTGATCTCCGCCATGGAGTCACTAAAATCTCTGGGTCACGAAGAAACAGTCGAAGCAAACTCTTGGAGACAAGACTGGCTTTACCACTTCATCTTCATTGTATTGGGAGCACAAGTAATTCTAGCAGAAGAGAAGACAGGATGCAACACAATGGCCCCAGCCACGTAATTCATTTTTCCGCAGGTCGGGCTCTTTATAGACTGAAACATCAGCAGATGAATAATAGAAGGAAGGGTCGAGCTTGAATGTAATCTCCACCACGGAATCGCCGACGCTGCGAGTTATGTAGGAAACTTTGTTTGGGGACGAACTTTTGAGAGGAAGGGTGAGTGTCGATCGTGTGGATGGTGATGTTACATGTACGAAGAATGCAATTGAGGAGGTCAAGGTCTTTCCGGCGCAAGCTAGACTTGGTTAAAGAACGGGTTGCACTCATCGCTCTTTCTTTTTCTCCAAGGTTGTCCCCAGGAGCAAGAGTCCATAGCTCATGTTAGGACTCGATGTATGTGGGGCTGGGGGACTGCTTTGCGAGAGATTAATCGGGGCTCAAAAGTTCCTACCGTGTCGTAGATGATTTCAGTCGTCTTCCCACCCTCATCCTATATTCGCACAAATTACTTCATCTCCCTCCCTTCAGAATTTTTTTCCTATTTATCCTTTTGGCTGAGTAATAGGGGTTCAATCTTTACTTTACGAGGAAAAAAATTTTGTAGTTCGGTAAAAGAAAAACGAACGGAATAGTAAAAAAAATTATATTTGGTTAGAGAAGTTGGTAATTTAAAATAATCAATAAACATGGCTTGGTAAGGTAGCAATTTAATGGAAGAGTAATCGCTCTAATCAGGCTTTGTAATTTCTAAAACAAGGGGAGGAATTTAATGGATTGATAGTAAAGTCAATAAAAGTTAGTAAGTTAATAGAAAAATTGACAGTAAGGTGTTCAAATAAGAGTTGGTAAACTAAAATTAATCGTTTGGTAGGAGAAAAGCTTGTAAGCCACACATAAGAATTGATATATATAAGGCGTTAAGGGCCTGTTTGGTTCAACTTTGAAAATGCTACTTGGGGGAATGCAAATAACTTTGAGTGAAAGCCCATTGGGCAAATGTAAATGGTGTTTGGTAAAAATATTTTGTAAAGCTACTTTGGCCAAAATATAGTGTTTGGTGAATTTTTTTTTGCAAATGGACTTTGAGAATTATTTTATTTATTAAAAAAAAAACAAACCCACCGTCGCCGGAGCAGGCCGCCGGCGGTCGCCCGAGGCCAGGCGACCCTCGGCGGGGGTCGCACGACCGGCGACGGCCGCTTTGGGTCGCGCGACCTCGGGCGATGGCCGCTGGGTCGCGCGACCCGGGCGACGGCACTTGAGGTCGCGCGACCTCAGCGGCGATGCTGGGTCGCGCGACCCGGGCGGCGGCCCGAGGTCGCGCGACCTCGGGCGACGGCCGCCTGGGCTTTCAGCCTTGAGAAGGCCAGCATTTGGCCAAAGAACTCCAAAAATGATTTGCCAAACACAAAATAATTCCCCCAAAGGGCTTTGGAGGCTCAAAGCTCCTTGGAAAAGCCCAACCAAACACCCCCTAAGTATAAAAAGAGATAAAAGATGATAAATAACAACACTTAATTAAATTAAAAAAAAAACAAGTAGCAACTCAAAGTTGATGACCCAGATGATCTAATCGAATTGGTAAGTCACTAAAATAAAGATTGGTTAATCCATATTAAAGAGTCGGTAAGTTTAAGGCAGTTGACAAGAGATAAGTTGATAATTTCGTAAAAGTATTGCTAATTATCCACGAATCGGGTGCTTTGTTTTAACATTTAAAAACTTTTTATCAGAAACCTACCACTACAGAAAAGAAAATATCAAGAATGGTAACTATCATCCAACCTAAAATCGGCCTTCAAGAGCCTCATGAAAACAACCACCAAAGTAGAACAAACTAGTCAAGGAAAAAATAATACAATCCGAGCACCGAATTGATCGTCTTCAATTTTCAACAAAAATAAATCCGTCACTGCTACTACTAACCCTAACTTGTTCTTTCTTGGGGTTCTATTCAATCTAGAATCCTAACACAACCAACCAAGGAAAAGAGAGAAGAGACCAACAACTGAACTGAGCGACCGGCCAGACCCGGGGGCCGAGGACGCTGTGCTTCCGGGCATCGGCATCGGCATTGTGATCACAGGGTTTGGGTTCAAGCCAGGGACTGGTTCGGGCTCATCGATGGGTTCGGGTTCGATGATGGGGATGGGTTCCGGTTCCGGTTCCGGTTCAATGATGGGGACGGGTTCGGGTTCGGTGATGGCTCCGCTCAACCACCTCATGTTGAGGCCGGTCCTATCTCCTTCTCTGATTCTCTGGTGTCGCCGGCCAGCAGCCAATTCGGGCCAATCTTCTGCGCCTTTGTAGTTCGGGATCTCCAGGGGTCGGCACGGTGGCAGCAGCACGAGGATCGCGAGGGAGAGGACGAGCGCGAACTTCATGACCGCCATGAGAACTGCGAAAGCTTATGAGCTGCGTAAGACGAAGTTAGACGAGAACTATGATCAGGAGAAGAAGAGTTGCAATGTCTTTGATGGTGAATGATCTGTATGTAAAGGCGAAGGCTTTTAAGGAGAATCCGTTCTGAGGTTTTTCCGAATGCAAAGTGGAGAAGTTCGTGATCTCTATTATCACTGAAAATACGAATTATCATCATGATTTGAGAGATTGAATTTTAGTTTCTATCCAGCTGAACAATTACCATGAGATAAGTTCTATGGAAATATTTTTTATCTATCGGTGAAAATGTTAAAAAATTGATAACACTTGGCATTTGATGATTGGTTAATGGATGGACTCGAGCTCCTCCTATTTTGATGATATCTCAATCATTTTTTTTTTCAAATACAGATGCATGAATTCGTATTTTTATTTTATCTCACTTTTTCAACATTACATTTTTAATGTTTTGAATACTACACCGTCTTTCCAAAAGCAATTTCGAATCTCGAAATATGTTTGTGTTTCCATAAATATTTATGCAATTTTTTTTACCGTGCACTTTTATCAATAATTTCTTTTCATCATTCATATATATCATAGCGGAATATCTATTTCTTGCCATTCTGACTCAGTTTTTGGTGAGTCTGCGTTATACATTTCTTTTTGGCTTCTAAGCTTCTTGTGAAGTGCAGCACTTTTTCCCACCTTGCATAGTGTTTGTTTCAATGAGGAAAAGAAAATAGGAGTATGGTGGATGAGTTACTGGTTTTGCCAGCACTTTCTCTTCACTTTGCAAATAGGGACGGAAGCCGGACGGGTTTGGGAGGGATGGTCGATACCGTCCCGAACCCGGACCCAGACCCGTCCCATTAAGTTTACCCATCACAAATCAGGATTGGGAGTCATGGAACTAGAGCATCCAATAATTTTTGGAAGTGGGTTTGGTACGAATGCAGAAAGGTATCGAGGAAAATCAATTCAATTAGTCTATCTAGCTAGCAAAAGAATTCAATGAGTATATATATTTACCAACATATATTCATTTGTCTATGAACTTTGAAAAGAACTTCCTATTCGTTCTATAAACATTTGATGAGAATCCCAAACCAAGAACTTGCTATTCGTTCTATAAACATTTGATGAGAATCCCAAACCAGCAGCAGATGAAAAGAGAGAAAAGAGGCAACAGAATGCAGCAAAACATTGGACTTGATTTGATGGTCGAGGGTGTTGCTTCCATGTAAATCTGATCCGAATGCGTACGCAAACCCTTCTTCAAGTGAACGATCGAACTTCCCGAGCAAAAGGACCAAGGCAAATACTAAACCAAGGGAAAGAGAGGAACAAATATTAGAACCGAGCGACGGACTGAGATCTTGACGGCCGAGGACGACATCGTTGTGACACTAATAAAAGTCATCACCACCGTGTTGAGCCGGGATCGTCGATTCTGCTTCTACTCTCTTTTGCTGGTTGCGTTGGCCAACACTTTTTGTCCACATAATTCGCGTAACTGGGAGCCTAGCTCTCGCGAGATTGGCACGGCAGCAGAAGAACTGCAGAGGAAAGGGCGAGCGC